GCTTAGCCCAATGGTGAAAACAGGTGCCCTGCGGGAGTGCCTGGGTTCATGCCCAGCTCTGGCTTCTGGCTCCAGCCGCCTGTGATGCGGACCTGGGCAGCAATGGTGATGGCTCGACTCAGCAGGTTCCTGCCACCCACTTGGGAGACCACTGCGGGCTTCTGGAGAATGAACTAGCCAACCAGAGCTCTCTCTGGCTGGCTGACTCTATGCCTCTCACATAACAAACCTGAGAGAATTTCATAAGGAGGACGTGTCCAGGACTCTCCTGCTGTTCTGCCTTGGCTTGGTCCTCTCTGTGGTGGCAGAAGGGACTCGGGTCACATGTAGCCTCATTCGAGGGGAGGTACTCAAAGGTGTCCTTGAACCTGCTGCCTTCCCAGGCTGGCCACCTCCTGGCCACAGGCTCCTCTGGCTGCCTTTGAACAGGCTTATCTTTCCCCAGGAAAGGCGCGGAGGGACACGGTTCCGTTGGTTCTGGCTCTGCAGTCCCTCTCCAGTGGGTGAGGATGGTACACAGGTGCCGGGTGCAGTGTCTCTGTCTAGCTGAGGGTGACTAGAAGCAGTGCCCTGCCCCCTGTTGCTCCTGCCCTCTCCTAACACAAGGCAGGCACTGCTCTTGCCCAGGGATGACAGATCGCTGGGAAGGGAGGTGCCTTGTCCGGGAGGGATGGGACGCTAGCTCCTGTTGGCCCCACAGTGTTAGCGGCTGCTGGAGGCTCTTCCAGCCTGGGCACTTTCTACCTGCTTGTCACACTGGCCAGTGAAATATTTACAGGAAATAACAGACACGGAGTTTGGCGTGGAGCTTGTAGGGAGCGCTGTGCAACTTCCAGCACTTTGCATGAGGTGGGAGTCTACGCTTTTCTCTAAGTCACATTGCAAGAACATCTTTTGAATTTACATTAAACTGGAGGCCACGAATAAACTTTTAAAAGTTGTATAAGCTAAGCACTGGATAGTCGTCTGCAAGAAAGCCGATGGTCAAGCTAGTGATATTTTGTCATTTGCAAAATGTCTGTGTCCATCGGCCCTTACCTTGCATTTCAGGGACTGGCGTGGTACCACTGACCACGCAGAAGCAGCAAGAGAAAATCCCTGTGAGCTAAGAGCCTGTGCCAGTCCCAGTGCCCGATTGGAGAGCCCTGTGCCTGCGGGGTGAGAGCCCATGATCACGAGATGGACCATTTTCCCCATGTCCAGTGCCAAGCTTCCTATGCCATCCTAGGTGAGGCCACCGCCATCAGCACACCAAGTGCAAGAGCTCCACAAGCTCTCGGAGCATGCTGGCTCGCCCTGTGTCACTGAAAACGGGGTCCCCGGGGATGGCTGTCTTGGTTTCTCTTGATCTGGTTCATGGGTTTAGAAGCTGCTTCTGCCCAGGGCAACCTCTGCTCTCATGGCCAAGGCCATGGGAAATGCAAGCGTTCAAGGACAATGGCACAGTGGCTACAGGTTGAGTATGCTACGAGTGAGAACAGAACTGTGGGTGCAGTGGAGCCTGTGACAGGCGGACACCCCTGCTTGCTGTGTGGGTGTCGTCTCCAGCTGTGGCCCTCGGTAGATGGGAGCTGGGGTGTCCACCTTTGCAAGCAGACACGCTGTGCTGACGAGGGAGCCGACGTTGGATTTTCCCCCAGCTTCAGCCCGTCCTGCCCTTCTTCCGGTGGCTCCTCATCAGTCAGACTCTGACAACGTCTGAGCTGGTGAGGGGCCAGTTGGAGGTGGCAGGAGCGGTCTGCACGCCAGGCCCTCTGCTGGCTGCAGGTTCCACAGGGAGACATTCATAGAAACAGTGATCAAACACAAAGTAATAAACAGGAAGATATTAAAACTTTTTTCTGCAGAAGTCAGGAAGAAGTAAAGTGCACGTAGAATGGAAAACTGCAGATGACTTTACAGACAATGAAAACATGAAGGGTTTTGGGAAAACCTATCAGAAACGAGACACATTAGTTATAACAAGGCATTCTGGCCCTGGCCTCATTTTTCAGACACTCAGTACAAAATTCTCTTAAATAATGCTGACTTTTATGATTTATTTATGACAAAAGAGAGCTATTACATCCTTGGTTCCAGCGACGGCTAGGGCTGAGCCACGTCCAGCGAAGCCAGGATCCGATCCTTGAGTGCACGAGTGGGGAGCAGGATTGGAAGGAGAGGAGCCAGGTCGCAAAGCAGGCCTCTCCCACGGGGTACGAATGTCCCAGCAATGACTTTAATGCTGTGCCTGCTCCAAGAATGTTTTCTGAAAGGTTGCTATCATGAGCCCTCTAGATGTGTTACTTCTGCTTTTCAGAAAGGGATTTAGCAGCGGCTTTTATTAAAATAGTTAATACATTCCTGGTTTAATACAGTAAGTTATCACTGAAGAGAAATTTCATAGAGGCGTGAAAGCTCAGGGTTTTCGCTCCATCTTTCACCCTCTTAAAGCCAGCGGGTGGATTCTGGTTTCGATGAGACCGTGGCACCTGGCCTGGGCTCTCCGCAGTTGAAGTCCTGATTCTGGCGCCGGTTGCTGCACCCGCTTGCTTGGGAGGGAACTCTGCCCAGGAAGCAGCTGAGGGCCCGGGGAGCCCCTGCCTTGACCCGAGGGGGGCCTGGGCTGCAGCGAAGACACTGCCTTCTTGGAGCTGCAGGGGCAGTGTGCTGTCCACGCCAGGGCCAGATGGCAAGGCCACAGCAGGCATGGGGGGCCCCTCGGGGCAGGATGGGCCCTGAGTGGCTCCTGCTCAGAGGTACTAGCTCAGAGATGGTTCCTTGGCAACCCCCAAAGCCCCAGGAAGCTGTCATCTGGGGCGACCAGGTGAGGAGGAAGTGAAGGGTTGGGCTGGATGACCAGAGGGGCCTCTGCCTTCAGGAAGTTCGAGGGGCATGGCTGCAGGTACAGGCTCCCCAGGATGGGGAGCCTGTGGAAATGTGGGGGCTCTGTGGAAATGCTCCCTCAGGGCCGAGCTGGGGGGGCTTCTCTATGCAGCTGCTCACTGGAGCGTCCCAGCCACCCACGGTGGGATCCGCCTGGACAAGGCTTCCTTCTTGCTGCGTCCAGCCCAGATCCACCCCCCCCCGGCTCTGCTCGGGGTGGTCCCTCGCTCAGCACTGCGGCCGGCGTCCAGCAGGGGAGCAGGGCTGGCCAGGCTTCTGCCTGCGCCTCACCTGCCCCGGGCCAGAGCCGGGGCGGACTTCGTCATTGCGTCCTGGCCTGCAGGCTGCCTACCCCCACAGTGAAGCATGCAGAAGGCACCACACTGAGTAGGGAGATGGGTTTCTCATTAAATGAGAACCGGCTGGCTCCTGAGGGGTATACACATGGGCGGGGCGGGGGCAGCATATAGCCCAGCAGTTAGGATGCGTCCCTCCCACCCAGGCTTGATCTCCTGCTGTGTACCCTGGGAGGCAGTGCTGATGGGCCAGGTAGGTGGGTCCCCTGGACAGCTGGCTCAGGGGTGGTCACTGTGTTGGAACGTGGGGAGAGAACTAACAGACAGGAGCTTTCTCTCTCTCTCTCTCTATGCCAATTACATTTTTAAAAAATATTAAAAATGAAGTTTGCTTTTCTTCTAAGAGTCAGCTATTTTGATCATCTCATCTGGGGATCCTGTGTGGTTTTTGCCCTCAAGCTTAACATTTGGTAGGCACCCAAGAAAACACGGGTTAAACATAAACTTGGAATGGATTTCTCGCTGTCTCAAGCAGGAGTTTTGCAAGGCCGGTGTCCATGTCCTGCAGGTCGTCTTGCCAGCCCTTAAGAGTGGCTCGTGGTCCCTGGGAGTCCCCGCAGCACTGTGCCTAAGGAGGTGTGCGGGTGTACTGCCCTCTGCTGGTCATTCCAGGAAAATCACCTGCTGCCCCCCGCTGAGGAACAACCAGCGGCCATTGACCTCCTCGGACAGCTTTGAGCATGTGCAGAGGAAAATGATCCAGTGATGGCGGGACAAGAGAAAGCTTCCCACTGGGAACTCAGCGCCCTAGGAGCTGAATTAGCAATTAACCCTGTGATTCGCTCAAGCCTGTCAGAAGTGTGGAGGCAGGGTGCCGTAGCTGACCTATTAAATATCAGTGTGTGGCCATGTAGGCAAAGCTGTGTGTCTTGGCAGGGCCAAGGCAACGGGTGGCCGGTTTGGGGTGAGGACTGTGACCTCCAGCAGTCCTGGGTTCAAATACTGACTCCGCTCTTACAACCTAAAGCAGGTGCTCCAGAAGTAAGAAAGTGATGTCATTTGTTCTCATAGCTGGTCTAGGCTAGCCTGGTGCTCGGTGATTCTGCTAACAGAGTCAGGACCTCCATGCCTCCTCCAGTGCCTGGTGCCTCGGGGTCTCAGTCCTAAAACTGGATCCATTTGCATCCCAGATTGTGCAGGAAGCTGCCGAAGGGGGGCGGTGTGCCTCTGGCCGGCTGCAGACGGAGCTCAGTGGAAGTGAAACGGAAGAGGGCAGCCCCTAGACCAGCCGCCCGCAGCCCTGTCCCCTCCAACTGGCCTCACTGGACAGGGCTGCCTGGCCTGCCACCTGCCAGTGGAGCCATGCTCCAGGTTTCCACACCAGGAACTGTCACCTTACTGATGACCTAAGGCATTGGGCAAAGTGGAGCCCCTTGGAGGGGTGGTTTCTAAGGAGTCCACCTGCCTGTGCCCAGTGTGAGCCTTGAAAGGGGATATGAGTGAGACCCTGAGGAATATGCTGGAAGCTCCTGCCATGCTGCTGGGGAAGGGCAGGCCGGACCCAGAGACTGGGTCTAGGGGGAGATGGCTGGCCCTGAGGTCTGGGTTGCTAGGATGTGACTTCTGCTGGGAGTAGCCTGGGATGGACAGCAGCTCCCTGGGCAGCTCCCTGGGCAGCTCCCTGGGCGTGTGGCTCCCCTTGCAAAGCTGTCCTCCTTGGAAGGGCTTGCTCCTGTGCGGGATTTGAAAGGCTGACAATGGCCAAGTCGACCCTGAGGGCACAGGCTCAGTGTGTGGTCAGCTCTGCTGCCCCAGCCTCTCCCTGCTCTGCCCTCAACCTGTCCCTGCTTCTCCACAGGCCTGCCATGGAGCCCTGCTGGCCCCTGCTGCTGGGGGGTGTTAGCCTGCCACTCACCAGGGCGCTTCAGGGCAACGAGACCACCACAGCGGACGGCAACTGGACCACTGCCACCTCAGGTAACAGCCTGCTGCCTGGGTCTCCTGTACTGGCCATCCCCACCCCCAGGCTCTGAGTGCAAGGAAGAGAAGGCTGTGTGAGAGGCACAGAACTGGCCCGGAAGGCAGGAGCAGGGCTTCCGGTTTGTACCAGCATCACCTGCCAGCTGAGAGCTGCAGCCTCAATGGGGGCAGACGGAAGGCAGGGACAGGTGTCTCATCTTAGTGATCCGTTTGGTACCATACATGGTTAAGATGCTGGTGAGGGTGTGTGTCGGTGAGCTAGCGAGTTAACCTACTGCCTGGGATGCTGGCATGCCCTCCGACTCCCTGGTTCTTGTTCCGGCTGCCCTGTTTCTCATCCGGCTCCTTGCTACTGTGTCAGGTCGGTGTGGTGATTTCTGGAGGAAGTGGGAGGGGCAAAGCCAGTCCTGCCCTTGGGAAAGCAGTAGGTGGCAAGTAGGTGGGGCCGTGGTTCCGTTCTCTCTTTGTAAAAGAAGATAAAGCAGACCCATGACGTACGTGGTCCCATGACACTGGAGTGTGGTGAGGGCTGCACATTACACAAATTCACTGAAAACCAATGTAGTAAATGCTGAAAATGGTTGTGTTTTATGGTCTGTGAATGTTTGCCGCAAGAGTGTAAGTGAACACAATGCAAGGACAAAAGAGGAAGGAAGGAGAGGAAAGGAACAAACGCAGGGATGTTCACACGCGATCAAGTTCACATTCCAAGTCTGTCTTCCTGCACCCGGCAGTGCCCTGCAACCCATCTGCGATGGGAGGTGCCAGTGGTGCCCTGTGCTGTGCATAGGAGCCACCCAGGCGCCTGTCTGCAGGAACAAGCAGGCCTACCGGGCTCCTGAGGAGGGCGCTCTGAGCACATCGCTGGTGGCAGGTAGAGGCAGTGTGTCAGGAACTGAGCCCCAGAGTGAGGCTCCGGGCTGGACGGGCGGCCTCATCGGGTCTCTGCGCCAGAGCAGGCAAAGCAGGCCGGGCATGGAGCTGCAGGAGGCAGGACACACCCGTGCCACACACACGGGAGACTGGACAGAGTACCAGGGTACTGGCTGTGGCATGATCCATCCCCAGTCATTGCAGGCACTTGGGTGTGAACTGCCAGTGAGAAATCTACCTTTCTCTCTGTGTTAACAGACAGAAGTAAAGCAGGGCAGGTCCCCGGGCAGCTGGCCCCCAGGACCATTGTGGGTGGGCACAGGCACTGGCAGCCTCGGCACAGGAGCCCTGACGCTGCCGGTGAAACACGCGCTCTGGGGCTAGAGGAGGAGCCGCTGTTGCACCTACAGCGTCAGAGGCCGAGCCAGAGCGAAGTGTCGCCCCCTACCTGTCCAGCCGGGATCTGTCCATACTGTGGCAGTGAGCAGCCGCTAGGACGGAGCGGGCAAGGGCTGCCGGCAGCCCCGGACTGAGGCAGGCTGTAGGACCGCCCCAGGAACGTGTGTTGGAACCGCCCCAAGAGCGCTCCTGTTGTTAGTTTCAGCTTCTTCTAATTAGCATGTGGTTCGGGAAACGTCTCAAGCTTGGTAGCACTCCATGGCTGCGCTCAGAGCCCTCTTCGTGTGTGTTAAAGAAGGGTGCCATGAATCCATGGAGCCTTGGAGGAGGGGAGAGACCCGCGTACTCCTGGGTGGGAATTCATAGGACAAAATCTTGGGAAAGACACACTCTTAAATGTTCAGTCCAGGGAGCAGGAATATGGGGCACATGGGCTCTTTCACTCTGCGTTTTTCTCAGCCAGAACATTCTGCGGTTGGCCCCTGTGTGTCTGGAAGTGTGGAACTGGCAGGTGTCCCCACCGGCATGGGGGATGGGCAGGAGGTAGACAAGCCGCGACCTGAGTGCCCGAGGGGAGTGTGCCACCCACTGCCCTTTCTCTGGGAGGCATTCCCAAGAGGGCAGTGAGGCCAGAGCTGGGGGGATGCAGGGACCTGCCTCGCCCGGCCTCTGCCTGCCCTCCTGGCCAGGCCTTGGCCACAGCACGTGCCACCCAGCGGACAGGTGTGCAAAGTGAAGGATTTCAGAACCAAGTCTAGGTTATGCGCGCGCGCGCACACACACACACACACACACACACACACACACAGCTTTGAGTGCCAGCTGAGGGAACTGCCCAGGTCAGCAGGCCGGCGTGCTCCCTGCTGGGACAGGCTACCTTCTGCCCCAGGCAGAGAGCCCTGCCCTGCCATGAAGTGGACTCGGGGTGCCCCTGGAGGACCCAGCCACAGCGCAGCGCTGCCAGGGATGCCCAGCGGGCCTGCAGAGGTCTGCGATTTGGGTTCTCGTGTTTGACTTGCCCCAGACCACACTGAATGTCAAAACTTGCGTTCCAGTTGAATGACTTGCCAGTGCTTGAAAACCAAGCAGCTTTTGCATAAAGCCAAGGAGCTCATCTTTGTGGCGATGGGGCCTCCGGGTGCTGCTCCCCTTCGTCTGCTTCCCACTGTGCGGGGCCTGAGGCGCAGGCGCAGACGCCACCCAGACTCCTCAGTCCCCCAGGCTGGCTTTGGCAGGGGAGGGGAAGAAGCTCCTGGACCTGTCCTCTGCTGGACTGGGAGAGTGACCCCGGGCTGGGCTGCAGCTGTCAGGGGCTCCCCACTTCCCCCATCCAGTGATCCACCCACGGCGCAGCCCAGGAGCCAACTCCTGTGCCAGGAAGAAGTGGGCAGCTTCCCTGGGCAACACCCCAGGAGACTAAAGGAGAGTAGGTGCTCAGAGGAGGAAGACTGAGAAAGGACCGCCTGTCATGGCGGCGGGGGCGGGGGGGGGGGGCGGCATGCCGTGGCCAGAGGGAGCGGGGGCTGGGCTGCAGCCAGGGGCCTCTGGAGCTGCAGCTGTGCAAGCCTGAGGCCGGCCACAGTGGCAGGTGTGCTGTGCTGCCATGGGCAGGTTGGGGGTACACAGGGAGAGATGCTCTCAGCACCCCCATGAGAGGCGCTCCTGGGGGCTTGCCTGGAGGAGGTTGCTTAGGACGAAGGTCAAGTTCACGGGGCTCTCGCTCAGGGCAGGAGCCTCCTGGTTTATTGTTTATTTGGTTTATTGAAAAACCAGTGGAATAAGCAGCAGAGTCCATGCTGGACCCCAGAGATCGCAGGCCCTGGAGGGAGGCCCGCCCCGCCCAGAAGCCTACAGCACGGGGCCAAGCCGGGGTTACCACCTTCAGCTGCGGGAGGGCAGGAACTAGAGCAGCTCCAGGCTGCAACGCTCACCCCTAGGGGCCCAGAACATCCCAGAGGAAGTACCTGGAGCCCTCTGCCTCAAGGATCATGTTTGGTGCTTCCTGGTGGAGCCCAGCGGAGCTCAGCTGTTGCCTTTGAAAGGCTGGTGGCATGGGGGGAGCTGAGGCAGTCCCCCAAGAGCCTGCCCACTGCACTTGGAGGTGTGAAACATCCTGTGGATCTATAGGAGAGATGACAGGTGGGCCAGCTGGAAGAGGAGGCCTCGGGGCCATCCTTGGGCAGTGGGGACCTGTTGGTGAGGAAAGAGCGTGTGACACCCGGGTGAGGCAGGGACCAAACCAGGCACTGGTAGAACAGAGAGACCACCAGATGCCTTGGGAATCTTGGCTCGGGGCCCAAGGCAGTCACAAGGCTGGGCATCTGAGGTCCCCTGGCAAGTGTGACTGTGACAGAGAGCAAAGCTGAAATCTTTGGACTGGCTTCTCAATTGGCCCTGACACAGCCCGTGGTGGGCACATCTGGCCTACAAGCCCCAGGCTGCTTCCCGCCTCCATGGGCATGCCCAAGAGCTGAGCCGAGAGAGCCGGCTTGCAGTGTCATGCACGCCACCCTCCTCCACCCTGACGGCAGGCACTGGGGGCTCAGTGGGATGAGCAGCTGGGCCAATGCCAGCCATGCACACAGCATGTGAGTGCGGCCCTATGTCCTCCACCAGGGGACCTTGGCAAAGCCACATCTCCCATCCCTCAATGTCCATAGCCACAGCAGAGCTGCCCGTTTGTGGGGCCTTGGGATTCGGTGGACACCACAGGCCAGGCTTGCGCTGCAGCTCCGGGGTCCAGGAGGACAGGCTAAAGTGGAAGGGGCGAGCAGCCAGTGGCGGTGTCCCTGCCAGCCCCACAGGTGCCTGACGGGGTCCCTCCCTGCTGCAGGCCCCCCAGACCCGGGCACCTCCCAGCCACTGCTCACCTGGCTGCTGCTGCCGCTGCTGCTGCTCCTCCTCCTGCTGCTGTTCGCCGCCTACTTCTTCAGGTAGGTGTGTCCTGGGGCTCGGACCCGCCCGACTGGCCACAGGCTCAGAGGAGGAAATGCGCTTCCCCAGCTGCGGGGCATGGGTCGCGTGGTCTGAGAGCCGCGCCCGGCCAGCCCTGAGCCGGGCCCAGCCATGAGCAGCAGGAAGAGCTTCTCCCGGCTCACCTGGTGGGTACCCCTCAGCTGGGGCAGGGCCCCTGGGGGGCTCCTGCCTCTTTGGGCTGCCACTTAACCAGTCTTGTGTCTTGGAAGGTTCAGGCGGCAGCGGAAAGCCGTGGTGAGCAGTGGCGACAAGAAGATGCCCAACGGGATCTTGGAAGAGCAAGGTGAGCGCCTTGGCCGGGGGTCCGGGGTCCAAGCCGGGAGGACGCCTCTCCCGTTGTTTCCTCTCCGCGACATTGAAGTTGCTTTTGAAAGGCCTCCCGCTAAGCCGCTTTCCGCTGCTGCTACCCACGCCCCCACTGCTGGTAGTTGCCTTAGAATTGCTGCAAAGTTGTGCTGCCAGCGTTTGCCTTCCCTCTGACATGAGGCCCCGTTGGAGGCGCCCCGTGTGGCTTTTATGAAGAGTCTGTTGCTGGGGTTTCGACCCAGGGTGCCGGCTGAGCGGAACCCCAGAGTGCCGGCTGAGCGGCCTTTCAAGTTGGAAGAGATTGTAGGCTCGCTGTCTAAGAAGGCTCCGGCCGGGAGAAGGGAGCTGGCGCGGGCTCAGAGTTGCTGAGGGCAGCGCCAACTCTTGGGGACTACATTCAGTTTCTGATCTGCAAACCCCACTTTCAAAGCTCGTTTTCCGCTCCCCGCACGGAGGTGGCCGCAAAAGCACGGAGACGGCAGCTTGGGCGTCTTGGTTCACGCTTGTGGCTACAGCTTCCTGTCATCAGCTTCCTCCCCCCGGGGTCTGGGGGCGCACACGTGCTGAGAGGAAAAGACTGTTGGCCACCGTGGACCCCAAGGGGCAGGACGGTAGTATGGTAGCACAGCACTCCGGGGCCTGTGTTCCTGGGAGTTACCCACATGGCCCCAGAGCAAGGGGGTCCTACACCTCCCACCCTGCGGTAGCGGAGCAGAGCAAGGCTCCTCCTGTTGCCTCCTGCAGGGAGAGGCTTGGCCCGGTCCAGCGGCCCAGCGGCCCAGTGGCCCCTGCAGGCGGGGCCAGGCCCTCTGCTCATATAGATTTTGGCAGGCCAGTTCATTCCCCAAGAAGAGAGGCACAGGCCAGGGGAGCCCTTCCTGCCTGCCCCTCGGAAGGCGTGCTCTGCCCTTCTCCTTTGCAATAACCCCCTTTGCCTCCCCAAGAGGTTTCTCCTGTTTCTGTCGGGGTTTGAGGAGCCAGAATTCTTTGTTGCAAAGAAGACAAGGCTGAGAGAGACCCTCACCCTACCAGATTTTCGCTCTGCTCCATGCTTGCTCCCGCACCTGGAAGCCTGCTCAGGGCTCTCCTGCAGACACAGAGCCGAGCCGCAGGGGAGGGGTCGGGGAGAGCTCTATGGGTGATTGAGCCGAGAAGGGGGCTCTGGTGTCCCTGATGGCATGGGCGGGGGTTCTGAGCAAAGGACGCCTGGGGGCCAGGGTGGGGGCTTAGGAGGCAGCAGTGTGAATAGGCTGCCCCAGTCCCATGCAGCCAGGGGCTGTGGGCACTGCTGCCAGGTTGGCAGGGATGCTGGCGGTAGCTTGGCAGCGAGCCGCCGCCCAGGCATGTGGCTGAAGGCCCCGGTGGCTTTGATCCACAGAGCAGCAGCGAGTGATGCTGCTCAGCCGCTCACCCTCGGGGCCCAAGAAGTATTTCCCCATCCCAGTGGAGCTGCTGGAGGAGGAGACCCGCCTGCGCTCGGCTGACGACTGCAAGTGCTTCCGAGAGGAGTTCAACGTGAGTGGGCTGGGCGGGCCAGTGGGACTGCCCAGGGCAAGGTGTCCCCATGACCCGGGATCCCTGCATCCCGAGTGACCTGTCCCCACAGCGTGGCTGCCAGGAGGCAAGTGTCCGGCTCAGAGGAGTTGGTGAGTTTGCCAGCTGGGAGGCTCGCCTGCTGGCTCCCTGCTGAGGGCTGTGTACTGGCCAGGGGGACGGTGACACCGGCGGGAGACCCAGCAGCTGAGCTGAGAATCCTGAGCGGTGTCGGGGATGGTGGCCGTGCCTCAGGCAGCCCCAGGTGTGGCTGTGTGCGAGTGAGAGTCCCGTCTCTACTGTTCTCTGACTTTCGTGGACTCAGCTACAGGTGGGCCAGGTGTGCCCAGTGGGTCAAGCAGTTCTCTCTGCTCCTACAAGTGAATAAGTACATAAGTAATCACAGTGGGACTCAGTGGCCCCTTCCCCTGTTGTCCATTGACCTTGGAGTCAGCTGGTCTGGCTGAGTGGTGGGACAGACAGAGGCCAGGAAGGGTTTCCTGGAGTCCTCTCGCCCATGCCTCATCACCCTGCTGGTCCCCTCGGAGGCCACTCTGGCTTTTGTGCCCAGCTGTGCACTGAGCGCAGGGCTTCCTGGGGAGTCATGTGCAGCAGGAGCCAGCCCCTCTGGCCCTGGCACCTCGGTCCACCACCTCGAAGCTGGCTTCCAGCAGCAGCCCAGAGGGATGGGGACCAGGCCGAGATCTCACAGCTCCCGGCCGGGGGTCAGTCCCAGCAAGTGCTGTGCAGACACACGACTTTCACACCGCAGGCCGCTGTAGGCGCCGCAGCTTTCCTTCTCTGTCCCCAGATGTGGCCTCTGTCCTCTCTTGGAGGAATTAGGTCAGACTGAAAGCTCCTAACTCTGTTGTTTTGCAATCTCTCAGCTTGACAAAAAAAAGCTTATTCTCCACTTCCAAAATAACTGTGAAAATCTGCAGCCAGAAGTCCTTTCCGCTCCGCCGTGCCACTTCCTCCATGCTGTTCTCTCTGGTGGAGAGAAGCTGGCAGCTGGGCTGCTGGGGCCGGGTTCCAGGGCAAACCAGCAAGTCTGACCTTGGTCTCAGACGTGAGGGCAGCCCACATGAGGGTCGGGAGAGACAGCTGCCCTGGACTCAGGATCTAAGAGAGAACCAGAAAGCTCAGTGGTCAGGACAAACCATATTTTACTTTTTTTTTTTTAAGATTTATTTATTTTTACTAGAAAGGCAGATATATAGAGAGGAGGAAAGACAGGAAGAGCTAACATCCACTGATTGACTCCCCAAGTGACCACAATGGCCGGAGCTGAGCCAATCCGAAGCCAGAAACCAGGAATTTCCTCTCGGTCTCCCATGCAGGTACAGGGTCCCAAGGCTTTGGGCCGTCCTCAACTAATTTCCCATGTCACAAGCAGGGAGCTGGATGGGAAGCGGGCTGCCGAGATTAGAACCGGCGCCCATGTGAGATCCTGGCATTTACAAGGCGAGGACTTTAGCTGCTAGGCTACCGTACCAGGCCCTACTTTTTTTTTTTTTTGAGAAAGGGAGGTAGGGAGCGATCCCGTCTGCTGGTCCATTCCGCAAAGCTCACAAGAGCCTGGAGCAGGGCTGAAGTCAGAACCTCAATCTCCAGAACTCCGTGAGTGAAGCCAGCACTGCTGCCTCCGGCATGCATGAGCTGGCAGCTGGAGACAGGAGGCCTGACTGGTGGCTTACGTGCCAGGCTTTCAATGCTTGCCCCTGTTTAATGCCAGTATTAAAATGACTAAAAGAAAAGCAAGCTGTCTTGATGCACAGAACAGTGCCATTTTAAATGAAGGCAGTGTCTATTTCTGCTTGATTTCTCCACTGGAGCCCGACCCTGCACTCACTGCTTCTGTTGTTATTCCAAAATGCAGCGTTTGAGCCGTGATGGATTTGAGGCATTCATTTGGAATGTTTGCAAATTAGGACATGGCAAGTTGTCCCTCCCACATCCTGAAGGTCTGCGTGCCCCGAGTGCCTCATGCTTGTCCAGCCCTGCCCTACACAGCCCCGCTGAGTCCCTCTGCTGGGTGACACATGGGGCAGAGGTCTGCTGCAGCGGAGCCAGTGGGACTCAAAGGCAGCTGTGCGGCCCCCGCCCTCGCAGCGTGGAGCTGGGCCTCAGCCCGGGAGCCTGCCGTGGCCGGGCCAAGGGGCGAAGCCAGTTTGGCTCTGCAGTCTTCTGCCTTGCCTTTTCCTCCCTGCTGGCCTGAGCTTCTTTCCCAGGTGGGCTCTCCCAGGGCCGAGGGTGACACGGGAGGGCTCTCCCAGGACCGAGGGTGACAGGGGCGGGCCGCCAGGTGCTCTGTGCGGTGGGATTGGCCTCTAGCTGCTGCTTCCCTGTCCTGGCACCCTTGGGACCCTGGAGGGCTGGCCTCACCTGTGAACCCGACTCACCCCCATCCCAGGGGGCTCTGCTGGCACATAAATGACAGAGGTGATGGGTCCTGATCAGGAGGACACCTGCAGTGTCCACCAGCCAGTGTCTTTACAGAACCCGTTGGACTCCTGACTCCACCTGGGGGACGGGGCGGGGCAGGGCATGAAGGGAATTCCACCTCTGACCTCTTCCATCCTCGCAAGTCCTCACCCGCATGCTCCTGGGGCAGAGCTTCGTGTCTGCCAGGATAGTTGGGCTCTTGTCCCATGGCTGGGATCCTTGCTCACTGGCCCCTGTGGCCATGCCTGCACCCCCCATACAGTGCCCCCCTTTCTTGCCTGCCCGGATGAAGGAAGCTGCTTTTCTCAGCTTTTATTCTTAGAGTGGCCCTAAGAATGAGAGTCCCGTGTCCCCGTTCCTGCCCCAGGGGTTTCTCCCACTGCTGACATCTGCCCAGCAGATGCGTGATGACTGAGGACCCAGTGCCAACACAGTGCTGCTGACCAGCCCTTGGCCTGCGCGGCCTCGGGGTGTGACCAACACGGACCAGCATGCGTTTCTCACCATAGGAGGACACCTCCTTGTTAGGTTCAGTGCTGGAGTCAGCAGCAAGTGTTGGAGGGCAGCCCATAGAAAGCTCTAGCATGTTAGCACAGGTTCAGTGTCTGGGTTAGGTCAAGGTTGGGTATGACAATTGGTCAGGTGCTCCAGGGACAACAGGTGTTGGCGGCCAGGGCTGGAGCCCAGAGCTGCACTGGACCTCGGGCAGGTGCCCACCAGGCCAGTCCCGTCACACGGGCCCTTGTTGGAGCCTTGGGAGTCTGTGGCTGTGGGGCAAGGAGAGAGGGCGATCTCTGGGCCCCCACTGGTAACTCCTGCCAGCCAGAAGTGAGGTTGCAGTGAGAGATCACGGTACCCAGTGGGCCACAGTGTGAACAGGCCCAGGGTGGCATAGCTGTGACCCTAGGCCGTGCTGTGAGTCCCCCCGCAATAAACACACACGCACTCCTAGGGACTCCTGTCACCGCTGCCCAGGCCTCAACACCACTTCAGTGTGGTGCAGGCACGAGTTCTCTGGGCCAGATTGCCCCTTGCTAGTCAGCCAGCCCTGTCGGCCACCACTTGGCCCTGAGTTTTGGAGTCCTCTGCAGGGACAACCCTATCACCCACACTCGGCAAGTACATCGTGGGAGCTGAGGGCAGATGGCTGCCTCGTCACCTCTTATTAAATCCCCATGGATCCTGTGTCAGACTGGTGGTAATATTAGAGGCCACGATACATAGAAGACTCTGTGCACCAGAGCTCACCCAAGCACAGAGCAGTTGCTGGCACTGAGCAAACAGCATAGCTGGCACCAGACAGGAATCCCAGGTGGGCACCTGCAGGCGATAGAAAGTTTTAGAAGAAAAGCCACCGTGGTCTCAGCAACTCTGCGGCTCACTGGTTCCGGCCTCGTACCGAGTGGTCGTTTCACACCCCTCTTCTGAGCTGCAGCGTCCCTGGAGGTGGTTCCTCCCCACACTGGTGACATAGCTTGGCTGGGCGGGCCTTAGTGGTGCAGGTGCTGCTTCAGTCCTCTAGTGAGCTGTGCAATTCCCACTCCTCCCCTGCAGAACGCCCAGCCAAAGCCACTGGCCCACAGGCGTACCTGGAGTCCTAAGCAAGGGCCAGGTTGTGTCTGAAGTCACTCCCTCCATTCCCAACTTTCCATCCTCCACCCTTCTCATGACTACCTGGCCCTGAGTCTCTGGGGTTGCAGGTCAGTTCTGGTTGGGCCATCTGTCCATCCTGGTCCTGTGGGTGGAAGAGCTAACGGGTCCATGATCAGGTCACTTAGTTCAGCTGACCAGAGGGCAGCCAGGGTCCAAGCCTCATTCATCCTCTCTGCTCTAAGCCTGGTACAAGATCAGAGGTCAAGACAGATGGTGGCTAGAGGAGCTCTGAGGCCCTGGGCTGGGCAGCGGAGCCGCTATGAGCCCGGCTCTGGCTCGGTGAGGTTTGCAACCACCTCTACTTTGTCTTCCAGTCGCTGCCATCTGGACACGTGCAAGCAACATTTGAAGTGGCAAATAAAGAAGAAAACAGAGAGAAAAACAGATACCCCAACATCCTGCCCAGTAAGACTTCCCTCAGTTTGCCTCTGCATGATGGGTGAGGTTTGCACTTAGCTCTGCAATGGTCTTGGTGTCCACCCCGTGACCAGATCTGCCCAGCCCACGTGGCCTCCTCTCGGGGAGGGCAGCCTACTGCTGCGAGCCTTTTCTCCCAAGCCCGTCTCCTTGCACAGAGTGTGGCATGGTGTGGGAGCCTGGGTCTCAGCACCCCAGCCGGGCGCAGTCTCATGGCTGGCTCTGGGCTGCTGTCACACCATGGACGCTACTCCATCAGCCACAGCAGGAAATCCCCAGTTTCCTGTGGGGCCCCAGGGGCCGAGGACAGAAGTGACAGAGTGATAAACCTTAGGGGGGGTTGGCAAATTTGTGGGGAAGCTTCAGTCAGCTCACAATAGCAGCCCTAGCTGGGGCTGCGGGCATGAGTTGGTGGCACCCCCTGGGTGTAGGTGGTAGGCAGGTGTCGCGGGGCTCCTTGTGAGCTGCCCTGGCTGGGGGATGGTTTTCACAACCTGTCTCCATGGCGGGTTCCCAGCAGTGAGGGACAGGGTTGGCCTGGGAGTGCTGGGCACCATGAACCTCTCCCCCGGCAAGGCCCAGAGGGCCCCTCTTGGGCTGCATCCTGGGGCTCAGGCCGCCGGCCTGCAGTAGCTTCCACGAGTCTTCCCCATGCTGCATGGGTAGCATCGAGTTCCTCTGCTTTGTGGCCCAGAATTTACACACGGAAGATTTACGTGTCTCTTTGACAAAGCCCACAAAGTGCAGCTGAGAAGTTGCTCAAGTTCCCTTCATCGAATGTGGGCGCGTTGGGGAAGCCACGGGGAGCTCACAGGGAGGGCCACGCAGCTGAGCTGTGGGGTGCCTGGCAGGATGTGGATGACGGAGGTGGGAGGAGCTGCAGTCGGAACCCACACCCTGCAGCAGCCCTACAGAGGGCAAGGCCAGGACACGAGGGGGTCGAAAGCCCCTGCAGTGGTTTGTGCCAGGACAGGGATTGGGGCAGCTAGCATCAATTCTGATTGATCAACTTGATCGATTAGCTTGAGTTCATCGCTCCATGTTCCCAGGCTCCTTGCTCTGCTTCTCTCCCACACCAAAGGTCACGTTGTTAGGAGTGGGACCCAAGTGGGACCATCTTCCTCACCTGGAGGGCCCTAGCTAGAAGCCCCTCCATCCTGCAGATCCCACCACTGCTGCCATGCAGCCTTCTGGCTGTGCTGGGTGTCAGTAGGCCTCTAGGTTGATAGTCTGCCCCAGTTCACCCCTCCCAGGAACAACACCTGTGCCACTCTGGGTCCTGGCAGGCACTGGGGTTACATGGGGGGGGGGGACACTGGCTCCTGGAACCATGTGTGAGGATGTGGTGACCTGGGAAGGAACAGCAGAGTGGCACAGGATCGGAGGAAAGCCATGCCAGAGTCTTGAGGAGCGTCAGAGATGTGGCAGGACCAAGGGCCTGGAATGCAGGGATAGGAGGCTACCCCCCAGCCCCCTGGGTGAAAGTGTGGGGGTTGGGGCCAGCAAGAGAAAGGCCCCTGCCCCCCAGCCCCCAGCTGCCCAGTTAGATCTCTGAGATAGCCCTTGGGCTGGAACTAAGTGGCCACTGGGGACCTGGGAGCCCCAGCCTCGTTGCTGTCTCCGAGGCTGGACCGTGAGCCGTGAGTGCAGCTGCCTGCTGGGAGAAGGCCAGGCCTGTCTCTCCTGAACTCCTGCCAGCAGCTGCTGAGGGGGAGATGTTTGGAAGGCGAAGTGTCAGAAGACAGGATGCTCGCAGAAACTGTGAGCTTGTAAATCTAACCCTGGGCTATTTTACACTGCCTGCATTTCCTCCTCGAAGCAGAAAGTGCCCCAAATTACATTCCGTGAGCACCACACATGCCCAGCGCAGCTGTCTCTCTGAGAGATGCCAGCCCCAGAGCAGGGGTCTTGGAGTGGAGCTGGGTGGCCATGAGGTAGGAGGGCTGGCACCCTGGCTGCCCGTGCGAGGCCAACAGTGCTGGCTGCCCGGCACCCATCCAGGAGAGCGGAGGCAGAGGAAGTGTGCCCAGGGGCTCTTCGCTGGTTTCGGTCCTGAGGGAGGATAGGCATAAGGCATGCACAGTGCCAGTCCCTGCCCCTGCCCAAGCTCTGGGCCCACTCAGGTTGGCACCTGCAGCTCTGCCGGAGCCTGCCCCAGGCCTGTGCCTTCCTTGAAAGGGCTGGCTCCCCTGCAGCCCAGTGTGCATATGCACACAGCACAGATGCATATACACATGTATACACACATGCAGTGCACAGCACATGCTAAGTACATGTGTGTAAGGAGGCACACGCAGATGCACACAGCGCACACATTTATACTCAGATGCGCATACACACAAACCTAACACATGCAGTGATCACACACACCATGCCCACTACTCGCAGGCTGTGCATCCTGAGCACCTGCCTGTGCCCGACTGCCTGGTACAGGACTGCGGAGGGGGACGGGCTCACTGCTCCCCCTGCCCCTGAAAAGCCTCAGAGAGATGACTCCGTGGTTTGTGTACCTGATTGGAACCCAGCATGGGGTATAGAAACCATGGTCCCTGTGTGGAGGTCCCATCACTTTGCTGTCCCCAACTCTAGCCGTGCCAGCACCTGCACCATCGCTCCAGAACTGAGACCCCAGAGTGCTGGGGAGCCCTGTCACATCCCCGAGGGGTTGAGGAGGGCGTGAGCCCTGGGGGGGAGCCGCAGCGCCTGTGGCTGCCGGGTGCCTGACGCCGTGGACGTGTTGGGGTCTTGCAGATGATGACTCACGGGTGATCCTGAGCCAGGTGGACGGCCTCCCCTGTTCAGACTACATCAACGCCTCCTACGTTGACGTGAGTGGCCGGAGGGGGAAGCCTTGTCCCTGCTGCGGGTGGGCATGGCTGGCCGTGGCCAGCTCCGGCTGGCATCTGCACTGAGAGTGAACCAGCTGGCATCTGCCCTGGGAGTGAACCAGCTGGCATCTGCACTGGGAGTGAACCAGCTGGCATCTGATCTGGGGCCAACCAGCTGGCATCTGCACTGGGGGCCAGGCTGAGGGTGTGTGATGTTGCATTGTTTGAGCTCCTCTAAGAACAGGACAGAGGGCCGAGTGCATGAGCTGCAGCCGAGGTACGCACCCCAGAGGCGTACGAGTCTGTTTTAGGGAAAGGAATGAAGCGTAATAGCACAACGGGGGAGAAGCTGCTGGAGACGCTGAGGTCCGCCAAAGTGACCGAGTAACTCCAGCTTCCTGCCAGCACAGCCCTGCCTACCATCAGTGTAGGAGGCCCGGACGGCCTGCCTGCCTCCTGGCCTCTGACCCAGCTCAGACCCAGCTGTCCTGCGTGTTGGAGGAGGGGGACGCAGGGGCCGATAGAAGGTCTTCTCTCGGCCTCTCCCCATGTTTCTCTCTCTACTCCTCATTAGTCATGTCATCATATTCCGACTAAATTCTCACTCCACGTGGGCCTGATTAAAGACTCGTAGGTGTCCATGTGCCTGCTGTGCGTGTGCAGACTGCGGACGAGGCGCCCGGGCTATTGGAGATTTCTGGTGCCTCCTTGACCCGTTTTCCTGGCGCTCCAGTCCCCGTGGTGAATGTGTAAGCCTTTGCTCAGCCAAGGCCCATCTGAGAACTTGTCCTTCCAACGCTGTTTTCCAGGGCTACAAGGAGAAGAACAAATTTATAGCAGCACAAGGTAAGCAAATGCCGTGCCCCAGTGCCAGGGGCTCTAGAACATGTGTTACAGCATGCTTCCGTGTGCGTCTCGCAGTGGGAGTGTGCGGACACATACGTGTGTTTTCAGGCATTCATGGTCCCCACAGTTGCCACTGCACGTGCAGGTTCTCAAGCAGGCCTGCTTCGCTCACTGCCTTGCTCCCAGCTGGCCTTGCTCTGCGTGCTCCCTGGTGTTGGGGCGGGGTGAGGTGTGGTTTATCTAGCCAAGGCCGCTAACAGGGGCATCAGCCTTGACCTTCATGGGGCTTCCCCTGTGGGTGAGCACTTCCAGTGCCTGGCCCCATGGACCAGGGCTGCCTGACGTCAGAAACCTAACGCTGGCAGGGACACACAGAGAAACGCATGTGATGTTGTGGAATGCACTTTCACTGCATAAATGCACAGATGTTGGATCTCTACACACGTACTTGATACATGCAGATAACATGGGAGTAGTTAGGAAGGTATCTTGAAGCAGACAGCCACAGAGCAGCCTGCGGCAGGAACATTCTGCCCCGCCCTCCTTAGTAAATTGCCTTAGCCTCAGTGTGACAATTGGCCGCAGCAGCTCCAGGCATTGTGTCTTTGTTCCAGCAGGAAGAGTAGGGCCCTTTCCTCTAGTCACACTTCCTGTTCTGTGAATGTCACTATCCTGAGGTTGTGCACACAGGGGTTAGATATGGAGGGTGGGCTGCCAGCCCCCAACCTGCCCCAGCATTCACACACACACACACACACACACACTCCGGCAGGCTGGGAAGGCCCCAGCACCCCTCACGAGCCTCATCACCCAGACGGGTCTCTCCCTTTAACTCCCCAGAGGTGTCCCAGCTGGAGTGGAACAAGTGAGAGACACAGGTGGGAGGACAGGGACCTGTGGGTCCCTCCTGGCCTCACTGAGTTGGGGTGAGGGAGCCCAGCACCCTGGGGTCACCGCCGCCCTCATGCCGCCCCGTCTGCTCCCCGCGCAGGCCCGAAGCAGGAGACGGTGGACGACTTCTGGAGGATGATCTGGGAGCAGAAGTCGGCCACCATCGTCATGCTGACCAACCTGAAGGAAAGGAAGGAGGTGGGTGGGCAGGGGCGGGCAGGCACCTGCTGCAGGCCACACCGCACCACCCGGGCACCCTGCAGCCCCCACTGCAGCAGGCGTCAAGGGGCCTGGGACTCCAGGCCTAGTGCCCTGGGCATGTCACGTGCCCAGCCACAGCCCACAGGTGAACGGCAGCCCAGAGCACCGTGTGGAAGGTGGCCTGCCCTGGGGACCCCGCAAGGAGCGGAAACCGTGCCCTTTTGTGCCTCCTGTGCCAGCCTTGCTTTTGGGACCGCAGTACCCCTGGGGCCAGGAGCAAGGGCCTGCGAGCGAGGTTGAGAGGAGGGCATGGGGAGCCCTGGGCCTGCCCACAGTGAGCACAGATCCCAGATTACAAAACCAAACAGGAGGGATGGGCGGCAGCCCTGGCAGCAAGTTCCAGCAGGAAGGGCCTCTTGCCTGCCCTCCGGGGCTGCACGTCGGCCCTCTGGGACCTGCCAGTGCTGGCCTGGCCCCAGAGGCCACCTCACGGCGCACGGGTTGGCATCTGGCTGTGCCAGGCGCGCCCACACCCTGGAGCTCCGGGAGAAGCCGCAGCCTCTGGTTTCCGGTAGGAGATAAGATGGGGTTGTTTTTGCTTTGTTTTCCAAGCAACTCTGTTTCCAGGCAGCTAAGACCAGCACTCCCCGCTGTGCAGTCCCTGCCGTGGCCATCCAGGGAGGGGAACTCCTGGTGGCAGGCCCCATGACCCAGCCGCTCCCCCACGCGCGGAACGGGAAGTCAGGTCCTCCGCAGGGCGCTGGGGTCTCGGGGGCGGCCTTCCCGCCTTGGCCAAGGCGCCCTGTTGCCGGGTTACAGCTCTGCCCCCAGCTCCTCCCCCGTTCTTTCCATTCCGGTGACTCAGTGCCGCCCTGCTGGTGCGGCTCCGCCCTCTCGGATGAAATCGCTTCTCCTCCGTCCAGTTCCCTTTTTCTCCGTCACTTACGCTTCTCTTGCGGTCTCCTTGACGCCCACATCCTGAGCATTGCAATATACAGCTACCCCGGACCCTGTGCTCAGGCGGAGGGCGTGGGGGCAGCCAGGGCGCGCGGTCCTGGCGAGGCCTGGGCAGGCTCAGTGCCTGGAGACACTGCAGAGTGTTGGCGGGGAAAAGCTTGTCCCACATACCACACTCGGGTGCAGGTGTGTGGCCAGCTCCGCTAAGGAGTATTCCCCACTGGGCCTTGGCACCAGGCGCATCAATGCCAGAGCCAGCCTGGCCTTGGCCAGAAGCCCATGCCACCTCTAGGTGGGCCCCCGTCCTGCGGGTATTCCCCGCGGAGGGAGCACAGGCCACGGGAGGAGTGGCCCCTGGCTGGTGATCGCTGTGGTTTGGGTTTCCCAGGTTGGGCAGATAAAGGCTAGCCCCTAAAGGATAGCCCCTTCTGCCTCCACCCTGCTCTATGCTGCGCTCCCGCTCCAGCAATTCCTGTCCTAGCAAACACACAGCGGCTTGGACTCCTTGCGGGTCTATGATGGGTTTGACTTGGTGCTGGGTGAGGAACCGCCTGAGCTCTGGTCCCTGTGCGTGGGGCTGGGGGAGTGCCGAGAGCTGACCCGCAGAGCCCTTTGCCCCCGCAGGTAGAGGTGGCCGTGAGCGCGCCCCAGTCCCCTTGTCCCTGTATGTGGGGGCGGCCGTGAGCGCGCCCCAGCCCCGTTGTCCCTGTGGGTGGGGGCGGCCGTGAGCGCGCCCCAGCCCCGTTGTCCCTGGCCTTGCTCTCTGCAGGAGAAGTGCTGTCAGTACTGGCCCGACCAGGGCTGCTGGACCTACGGGAACATCCGCGTGTGCGTGGAGGACTGCGTGGCCTTGGTGGACTACACCATTCGCAAGTTCTGCATTCAGCCAGTAAGTCCGGCAGCTGCGTGGCTCAGGGAGGCTCGTGGGGGGTGGTGGGGGGCTGTGGGGGCCGTGGGAGGCTCGTCGGGGCCGTGGGGGGCTCGTGGGGGCCGTGGGGGGTTTGTGGGGGCCGTGGGAGCCATGGGGGGCTCATGGGATTCGTGGGGTTCGTGGGGGGCTCGTGGGGGCCGTGGGGGGCCCGTGGGGGGCCCGTGGGGGCCATGTCACAGTGCACAGGCCTTGGTGTGTGCAGTGTGAATGGACATGTCGGTACACACAGACACAGGCCCCCCGTGTGCAGTGTGTGTGCTCACGTGTGCATGTGTGTGCTCATGTGTGCAGTGTGTGTGCTCACATGTGTGCTCCCAGGCCTCCATGTGTGCCCATATATGCACGTGACAGGGCACAGGCTGCTGTGTATGTGCCAGGCTTTCCCCTGCCCCGCACAGCGGTGACTCGGGGAGAGGGCACGGCTGGAGGGCTGGGCGTGCGGCCAGGCTTGGTTCCTGCTGGGTGGTCAGTGGGTTTGAGACGTGAGTCTGCTGAGGGTCGCGAGCCCCTGGCCCTCAGGTACCCTCTGAACCTCCCCACTCCCCGGAGCAGATCGGCGTCCCTGGGTCACGCCCCACGCTGCAGTGAGGGGAGTCGTAAACCACTGAGTCATGCCGCAGTGCTCGTTTTTCAGTTATATCCACCAGTTTTCAGAAGAAATCAAGGCAGATTTCAATAAAATAAAGCCTGCGTACAAGGTTGATGGCATGATGACGTAAGAGATTACGTGACAGTCACTGAAGGCGTGGATTTTGTCAGGGAGATGTGAGCCGCAGTAAGGGGCAAGAGGGGCTTCTTGTGCCCATGTTCCCTGGTTACCTGACTCCAGGACACGTGCACACACGGTCACACACACACACACACACACACATGCACACTCAGGCTTTCACATGGTCACAGGACACACACATGCAGAGTCCCCCACTGCCTGGAGCAGGGACACCACACCAGGAGTGTGAGCCCAGCGACGTCCTGACGGGGGGAGGGCTGGGGCTGGCCACGTCCCACTTCCACACACCGAGACGGCGCAGGGAGCCCATGCTGTGTGCTGGCAGTCGCTGAGGACACTGGCCTGCCGTGGGGCCATGCAGGTGCGGTCCCTGAACGTGGCCCACAGCCCCTGGGAGTGGCCGGCTGGGGGAAGGCCGTCTCCCCTCCCGGCACGTAGCCCCCAGCTCCACAGCCTGTAGTGCGTTGATGGCGGAGGGAGGGCTTGAACTCTCCCGAGAGGACGCTGCGGTGGGAGGATGAGGATGGTCCTGCCTGCTTACATGCCGCATCCCTGTGTCCCCGCAGCAGCTGCCCGATGGCTGCAGAGCCCCACGACTGGTCTCGCAGCTGCACTTCACCAGCTGGCCGGACTTCGGGGTGCCCTTCACCCCCATCGGGATGCTCAAATTCCTCAAGAAGGTGAAGACCCTCAACCCCACGCATGCGGGGCCCATTGTGGTCCACTGCAGGTAGGTCTGAGCCAGTCATGGCAGCAGCTCTTGACTCTGGTGGACCCATGTCCAGGCAGGCCAAGGGTGCCCCTGGCAGCCTGGGCACAAGAACCCCAGGCAGGACGAGAGGGCAGCCTCACCCCGGACATGCTCCGTGAGGAGAGAAGCCCACTTCCGTGGCATCCATGGGGGAGGCTATTGTGGGAAAGCAGCAGCAGCCCAGCGGCCCTGGCTGACGGTGGAGCCGGCTGACAGTCCCCTTGGGCCCAGGGTCACCTGGGGAGCAGCACCCTCTACAGCGCACCTGAGCGGGGAAGGTCAGAGCAGGCTGTCCTCTGCGTCTGCCTTGGTTTCCATCTCTGCCAAGAGCCCTGCCCGGCCCCCTGCTGGCCCCTGCGGAGACCCGCTGTCAGCCACTGGTTGCTTCTGAACTATCTCCTCATTGCCAGGGCTGCAGGTGCCCTGCAGCTGTGCCAGGTGTGCAGGGAGAGGAGTCACGGCTGTCACCAAGTCCCACAGAAACCCAGGCATCAGGCCTTGCTTGGTCATGTAACAGGGGTCACTTGAGACACATCACTGACTCAGCTGCATGGATCTTGGAGCGGTGACACAGTGGCAAAGCCTGGGAAGAGAGAAAGAAATGACCCTCTCAGCCCCGGCCGAGCTCCCCAGCACAGCTCTCCAAACCCTTACACGGGATTGGAAAACGTGTCCCTGAGGCTGCAGCGCCCTCTGGTGGCTGCGCCGTCGATCGGCCCCCTAGAGAAGCTGGACGGGGTGTCCGAGGCGGCATTCCCTGGGGTCCGCTTCAGGGTGGCCCCTCTCCTCCCTCTGAAGCGCGGGTGTGGGCCGCACGGGCACTTTCATTGTCATCGATGCCATGATGGCCATGATGCACGCTGAGCAGAAGGTCGACGTCTTCGAGTTCGTGTCGCGCATCCGAAACCAGCGGCCCCAGATGGTGCAGACAGACGTGAGTGGCAGACCCCGGGCACCTGGCGTTGTCACAGCTCACGACCCCTGCCCCCACAGAAGACCCCCGATCTGCCTGGCAGGTGGCGAGCAGACCTGAGCACCCCCTGTTCCGACCGTTTCACTTGCTGCCCTGCCTCTGCCTTCCCCCTCTTGTCCTTGTGGCACGTGGGGTGGCCATGCTGCCCCAGGAAGATGCAGGAGAGGACCCGGCTGGTGCCCTCCCTGAATGCCAGGCTCAGCCCTTGTCCCCCAGGAAGTTGGGCGCTGTCATCCTGCAGGGCCACTCCTCGCACTGGCAGGAAGCTGAGCATGGGCCCCTGGGGGTGCAGGGATGTGGCGGGGTCAGGGAGCAGCCTTGTGCTTCTCGCAGATGCAGTACACGTTCATTTACCAAGCCTTGCTGGAGTACTACCTCTACGGAGACACGGAGCTGGACGTGTCCTCCCTGGAAAAGCACCTGCAGACCCTGCACAGCAGCACCACGCACTTCGACAAGATCGGACTGGAGGAGGAATTCCGGGTGGGTGCTGGTGGGGTGTGGGTCTGTGTCCAGGATGGGCAGCAGGGGAAACCTCAGGCAACTCGGGCTCCACTTAGCCATCCTTGCAACGGGCCCAAGACACAGCCAGGGAGTGGGCGGCAGCAGGGTTTTTTTCTCCCGGGCCTGGGGAGAGTCCTTGAGGTGGGAGCAGGTGCTTGCGCGTGCCGACGCCCAGGGAGGCCCCATCGCCCTGGGAGGCCCTGCTCGGCGGCCGCGTCTGAGTCTGAGCAGCGTCCTTGTGTCTCCCTGACTGCAGAAACTGACAAACGTGCGGATCCTGAAGGAGGACATGAGGACAGGAAGCCTGCCGGCCAACATGAAGAAGGCCAGAGTGATCCAGATTATCCCCTGTAAGCAGCCCGGGACCCCGCGGGCCGCTCACTCCCGCCAAGTTCAGAGCCAGGGCTCCTGGGGCAGCAGAGGTCCATGGGGAGACCCTAGGGGGCTCAGGCAGGCAGTTCGGGACCTGGACTCAGAGGTGGCAGGGGTGGCGGGCCTGGACTACAGGGATGCTCCAGGAAGCCTGGAGGTTCACTGCCTCAGTGGCTGCTCCTGTGAGCCAGGTGGGCACGGTCCCAGCACAGGGGCAAGCGAGAGCCGTGCACGCACCGAGGAGGAGGGGACGAGAGGCTGTGTCAGACCTAAAGCAGGCTCCACCGAGGTGTCCAGAAGGCTGTGGCCTGCTGAGAGCCTGTGGGGGTGGGGGCAGCTGCCCAGGCTGTCTCCTTGCCCTGTGTGAGAGGACGTCCCGGGAGCTGGCTTTGCCCAGGGCTGGGCAAGGGGCCGTGTGTTGGAGACGCGTGCGGCCGCGGGAGCAGGTGTGCCAGGCGGGAGTGCTTGTGCGCTAACCGGGGTGTGCTTTTACAGATGACTTCAACCGAGTGATTCTCTCCATGAAACGGGGCCAGGAGCACACAGACTACATCAACGCGTCCTTCATAGACGTACGTACGCCAGCCCCCTGGCACCTGCGCCTGTGCCACCACGTCCTCCCTCCTTGGCTCAGCACCTGATTCTGTGTAACTTCTCCAGAAACTCAGCCCTTTTGTTAGGACAGAGAATCACTCCAAGATGAGTGGGCAGAGCAGGTGTTGGGTGCGGCACACTGGGCTGCCCTTGGGACGCCCACACGCCATAGCACAGTGCTGTGATGGGCCTCAGTGCACCTGCCACCGAGCTGCCTGCTAACGCTCGTGGGAGGCCGCAGGCGGGCACTGAGGACTGGAGCCTGTGCCACCCGTGTGGGACGCCACGTTGAGCTCCTGGCTGCCAGCCTGGGCCAGCTCTGGCAGGCGTTCGGGAGTGAACCAGTAGATGGAAGAGCTGCTCTCCCTCTCCCCTGTTCTGCCTTTCGAATAAGAATGAATAAGTGAACGTTTTACACAACGGATGCACAGTGGCCTTTGGAGGTGGCGGCTGTAGACTTGCTGTTTAGTGTCAGCTCCTTTGCCTTCCTGCCTCACACGGTCAGTTGTTGTCGTTCCCATGTAGGTGGCACAGGGGCACTTTACCCCCCAGTGCTTGCTGCCACTCATGGGCAGCGCTGTTGCTGAGGTCAGGGCCTGGAAGCACAGGCTTTCCGCACGCAGTGGTGTCAGTGAAAGGAGGGCAATAACATCCAGGCCCACACTGGGGTTTCCATCTGCAGATGAGGTCAGAGGGTGGTGGCCGAGGTCCCCCAGCTGCCAGCCCAGGGCCCAGCTCTGCACCACCACCATGTGGATGTGACTGTCATGGTCAGGAGCCTACCACAGCCCTCGCTACCAGGAGCTGTTCAAAGATGGCACCAACAGACCACCTTGGGGGTGTTCCCTGCTGCGTGGGCCCTGTGTGTGCAGAGTGGGGTCTAGCTCAGGTTGGGGCAGGTGGAAAGGCGCCACCACACAGGCTGTGGCCCTGGGCCGGCAGGAGGTTGGCCCCTGACCTCTGCTCCCCCCACAGGGCTACCGGCACAAGGATTACTTCATAGCCACGCAGGGGCCGCTGGCGCACACGGTCGAGGACTTCTGGCGGATGGTGTGGGAGTGCAAGTGCCACACGATCGTAATGCTGACGGAGGTTCAGGAGAGAGAGCAGGTGAGGCCGCTGCCCAGGCTGCGCCCCTGAGGCCGCCGCTGCCCAGTTGGGCTGTGGCACCTGCTTCCTGTGCCCACGTGTGAACGAGGCCACGTGCTCCATGAGGAGCGTGCAAGCTGAGACGCAAGCTGCTGTGTCCTAAGCTCTCCTTTTCCGGATGCAGGCAGGCTCTCCAGCGCCATGCCGGCTTCCTGAGCCCACGCTGAGGTCCTGCTTTTTGCTTTGGTCAAGGTCACAACCTGTTGAGGAAAAAGGCCTTTGTTTGCTTTTGCAAACACGAAGCCTCCGGCGTAGGTATTACGCCCAACTGATGCATCTGCCCGCTTTGCAGAGAGCTGTCGGTGGCCTGTTTGTGTTGACTTAATCACAAAGTAAACACACCTGGGCCACCGCCCAACAGCCAAGCCAAACCTTCGTCAGCGACCTGTGTTCTGGAGGTCTCCCGAGACGTGCCACAGCTCCACATTAAAACAGGAGTGTGTTGGGATGTGCAAAACTTGATGCCTGTGCCTTCCGTGACATGCGTTATCAGGAACTTTAGAAAGGCCCCCTCACCTCAGCCTCCGCATGCACTTCCGCTGGCTGGGAAGCCGCTTCCCCAGCTCTGTGTCCAGCCAGCTCCGGACGCTGCTGTGGATCAAAGCTGCATGCCAGCGTGCGTGCGAGCGAGCGTGCGTGTGAGCGTGGCTGCGAGCGTGGGTGCCAGCGTGCGTGCCAGCGTGGGTGCCAGCATGCGTGCAAGCGTGCATGCCAGCATGCGTGCGAGCGTGGCTGCGTGCGTGCCAGCGTGCGTGTGAGTGTGGCTGCGAGCGTGGGTGCCAGCATGCGTGCAAGCGTGGGTGCCAGCGTGCGTGCAAGCGTGCGTGCCAGCGTGGTCTGTTTCTGGGCTCCCCTTGCTCAGCAGGTGCTCACGGGCGTTGGCATCTGTGTGCTCACTCAGAGGAAATGCGTTAGACAATGTCACGAAGGCAGCACTTGCAGCAGCAGATTCTTGCTGTGGGACTCAGAGCTTTGTCTCGCCCCCTAAGGATAAATGCTACCAGTACTGGCCGACAGAGGGCTCAGTGGTCCACGGAGACATAACCATCGAAATCAAGAGCGACTCGCTCTCCGAGGGAATCAGCGTGCGGGACTTCCTGGTGACCTGCAGTCAGGTATGGCCAACACAGCTCGCAAGCCCCTGTCTTGCCCTTGCCCTTCCCAGTCCCCAGCTGGCTGGGAGCCGCCTCAGCTGGGTCCTGCCTCATCCCTGCTGCTCTGCTGGGATGAACTGTGGCTGGGCACAGTCCGCCTTCCCAGGGCCCTCGCTGGTCCCTGGCTCTGTTGCTCTGTGCGTGTGCTGGGCAGGGAACGGAGGCTCTGATGAGCCAGGCTGAGGTGGCTCACCGTGGGTCCCAGTCAGCCACACAGGCCCAGTGCCTGTCTGCTCCACGTCCTGGCTGCTGGACCCAGGCCTCCGATGGGAAACACCGGGCCCCAGCTTCTCCAGGGAGGTTCGTTTTTCTCAAGCTGCCCAGGACCCTAGAAGGGGTTGGCCAGGGCCTGTCCGGGGCTCTCCTCAGGGTGTCATGCAGTCAGCCCTTGGGCTTCTTCAGATGAGCAGGGCCACACGGCATGGCCTCGGACGCTCAAGTCGCACAGGTGGGGCATGGGAGCCCCAGAGGCCCAGGGAGGGTTCTGAGTCTCTCACCTACCTCGGAAGGGCAGGTTGAGCCTGCGAAGTGGCCCGGCATAAGCCCTCCTTCCTGCCCACAGTCCCTGGCCCACCAGGAGGAGCAGGCCCGTGTGGTACGCCAGTTCCACTTCCACGGCTGGCCCGAGATCGGCATCCCCGCCGAGGGCAAAGGCATGATCGACCTCATCACGGCCGTGCAGAAGCAGCAGCAGCAGACGGGCAACCACCCCATCACCGTGCACTGCAGGTGAGCGGCAGCCCAGGCCCCGGGCGTGGGGGAGCCTGGGCCCTGCGCAGCCTGCCACTGCCCGGGTCTGTCTGAGGCACACTGCTGGCACACACACACACACCTCTCCAGCGCCATCCGTGCCCATGTGGAACGCCCTGGGCAGAGTCAGGGATAGACCCAGCTCACAGTTCTATGCTTCTGCGTTCCAGCAGATGCACATCTGTCCCCGGTCCCCTGTCTTCTGCTTCTGGCTGCCCCCACCCTCTCCGCTCTGCTTGTCAAGCTGGGTGAGGCCACATGTGTAGTCCAGGCGGGGGTGACTAAAGAAGGCTGGAGCCACCCTAGTCCTGAAGTTGGGCCAAGGGCCGAGAGGCACACACAGGCACAGCCCGGCACGGATGGGCATCCCGGTGAGGACCTGCGTTAGCCGCATATGGAGAGCGGGAGTCGGCATTTGGCCACACAGAAGGACCCACCCGCTCACCCACCTTCCTCTGTGCCTGGTGGGGCTCTAGTCTTGCCTAGCCCCTTGGCCAGTGACCTGGGTTACTGCTGCTGAGCTGGTTCAAAAGTAGGAATTTGGGCTGCTTTTATTCCTTGAAAAAAAGATTTATTTTTAGAGTCAGCATTAGAGAGAGAGAAAAAAATGTTCCATCCGCTGGTTCAATCCCCAGATGGCCACCATAGCCACAGCTGGGCCAGGCCAAAGCCAGAGCCAGGGGCTTCACTTCCGTGTTCAGTTTACTGGACTTTTCCAGAATGAGCCTGGTTCTTCCCTGCTCACCCTCTGCAAGCCCAGGCTGTGAGCGTCACCTGTGTAGTCCCTTGGGGTGCAAAGTGAACGAGGTCCCGCAGGGGGGTTCCTGGGAACACAGCCGCGGGCACAGACTCTGCAGCAGGATAGGGTCCTAGGCCAAACCTCCTGGAGAGATTCCAGGGCCTCGGCACCTGCTCATCCCACAGGGCCCTGGGCGAGGCAGCCAATCTCTCCTCCTTTGCACCTTCCTTCCTGGGCAGTCTGAGGAGAGCCTGGCACCCGCTCATGAGGGGTGTGTGCAGAGGCGGGCAGACAAGCTTTTCATGCCATCATGCATGGAAGAGCTGACCACTGCCATCTGACCGTTCCTAGAAACAGGTGCCCTCTTAGCATCCTCTACCTGCTGCCTTCCGGCAACACCTGTTTCTGACTTGCACCTGGTGCAGGGAGGAGAGTCTGGGACCGCCTGCACCTGGCGGATGGGACATGGTCCCCTGTGCCGCTCCAGGGAGCGGGTCACAGCAGCGAGGCTGAGGACTCTCTCCATGGGTCCTGATGCATTGCTCGGGAGTCCTGTGCACTGGTACCTGGCGGAGGGCCTTAGCAGCTGTCCAGGCCACACACCTGGTTTCCCTGGTGAGCGGGGTCAGTGCTGACCGCACGGGCAGGTGTGAGGAGAGGGCGTTCATGAGTCGCTTCTCCCTGCAGCGCTGGGGCCGGGCGCACCGGCACGTTCATCGCCCTCAGCAACGTTCTGGAGCGAGTCAAGGCCGAGGGGCTCTTAGATGTCTTCCAAGCCGTGAAGAGCTTACGGCTGCAGAGGCCACACATGGTGCAAACTCTGGTAAGGAGCTCCAGAAGGGATGTGCCCGGAAGTCAGGAATGGTGGCCTGTGTTTGGTGTCTGGTTCATGAGCGTAGTCCGGTGTATGGAGCAGTGGGAAGGTGAGATTTTGAAGGAAGGCCAACTACAGCTTTGCACAAGATCCCCGGGCTCCCTCTCCCTCTGAGGTCACTGACTCCACAAAGGAGTTTCTGGATCAGGAATAGAAACGGGACGAGCAGCCTCGGAATGGAATCCAGTTGGTAGCTGGGGGCCACTTTCTCTTTCCAGCTGTTTCCCTGTGCTTAGTTCAACCCCCGACTTCCCCAGGACCACACCCTGTGAATACAGCTCCTTCTCGGTGGTTTAAAGGAAGCCGTGTTTAGTCGGCTGAGCCCTGTGGTTCTCGAGCTGGGCTCCAGGAGGTCCTCCCACTCACAGCTGGCCTGTCTGGGGCTCCAGGAACCTGGCCTTGCTGCTTCTCATCTCCAATTCCTTTCCATGAAAGATGGGGGTGGTGGTCCTGCCTGTAAGGTGACTGAACAAAGCTTGCTATAGATACGTCAGGGACAGCGAGAGTGGCTGGCACCCAGGAGGTGCCCGTGCCCAGCCACCAGTGGCTCAGGGCCTCACTGCCGCTCATGTGTGAGATCTGGGTTGGGCTCCAGCCCCCTGGCTGCTTGGGGCACTGAGGAAGTGAACCAGAAGATGGAAGATTTCTCTCTGTCTCTTTGTTTTGAATACATTTTTTAAACAATAGAAATTTAAACAAATATGTTGGCTTATCACCTAGTCCCATCCCCAGCACACAGGCTGTGCGCCAAGCAAGCAGGTGGTGAAGGGTGACAGCCAGCCAGCTGTGGGGCACCTGCCTTTGGATCCTAGCACCACAAAGGGACTGAGTGTCCTGCTGCCCTCCCATCCAGGGTGGTTCTCTGGCAGCCCAGACCTTCAGGTGCTGTCACAGTGAGAAGTAACTCCACCTGACCCCAGACCTGAAGGGCTTCGTCACTGCCGTGTGCCAGAGCTGCCCGCTGGCAGGTGGCAGGGCTGTTGGCCAGAAACACAGCAAAGGAGTGCTTGTTGGAATGCAGGCTGCCCTCATGGCAGCCACGTGCCAGTTCCCAGTGACTGGCTGCCTTGGGGCAGACCTGCTGTCTTAACAGCCCTACTTGACCTTTGATCCAGACCTGCTTTTCCAAAGACCACTCAGGTGTTTGCCGGCCTTGATTTAAATGTCCATCTGCATGTCTGGCAGTGTGACCAAGGTGTACCACCCTGAGCCATGGCCTCCAATCCTGGCACCCCAGACGCCAGGCAGGGCGGTCAGCAGTGGGCACGTGGGTTTGGGTGGAAGCCAGGAGTGACAAGTTAGCGCCTCCACTTCCAGCCCAGATAGGAGCCAGCTCTGCTCGCCAGCTGGCCGAGCTTCCTGTAGGGCAAGCCAAAAGCCAGTGAGCTCACACTGAGGCTTGCCCCTCCCCGGGGGGCTGGTGACCAGGAACCCCCCTTGTCCTTCAGGAGCCTGTGGTCACGTGGGAAGCTGGCAGAGGATACCTCTGTCTGTTCTTGGCTCTCCAGAACCCTTCTATGCTCCCTCTGTCATCGTTATAACATCATTCATGGACCCTGTGTAATGGCCAGGTTGAAAGTTAACCTACGATGGATGCACTGTGTTTCTGGTCCTGCCTGTGGTTGCCTTGGCAAAGCGCGGACACATGATTCTGTAGATGTTTTCCAGCCATTTCAGAATCAAGTTATTCCCTTTTTTTTCCCAAGATGTATGTATTTGTTTATTTGAAAGGCAGCATTACAGAGAGATAGCGAGATCTTCCTTCTGTTGGTTCACTCCGCATGTGGCCGCAACTGGCAGGTCTGGGCCAGACCAAAGGCAGGAGCCCGGGGCTTCCTCGCATCTCCTACGTGGGTGAAGGGGCCTGACCACTTAGCCCATCTTCTGTTGCTTTCCTGGGCCATTAGCAGGGAGCTTGATCGGAAGTGGAATAGCCAGGATTTGAACCAGTGAATATCTGGGATGCCTGTCTCAGCTTTGCCCCAAGACCAAAGTTGGTGACCCAGCGTTTCTTTCTCTAGAACAGTAACCTCCATTCCATCCTGGCCAGACTGAACCTGGGCAGGACTGGGCGGGAGGAATTCCTGATGGTTCATGGCCTGAAAACCAAGAACCGTGTGGCCCGTGTGAGGAGAGCTGACCTCAGCGTGTCAAACGGGCTGCTGAGGACAGCTCTGGGTGCCTCCTCCCGGGCTCTGGCAGCCATGTCCCTCAGGTGCCAGGACCCAGACTGCCGGGACAGGCAGCTTAGCAGGTCCTGACCAAAGCTTGCAGTGCCTGTCCTGCTGATGACTGGGGATGCCAGTGTGGATTACAGACAAGGCCTTCTGTCCAGGCAAGGCTTGGTCCCCTGACTCTGCAGAAACTGAACAGAGAAACCTGTCTCTGTTGTAGAATTAATCTCCAGAACAATCCAGCTTCCGACTCCCCTTTCCTCCTCCTTCTTGCTACGTTGTGGCATTTCCGAGTTTGTACTCTCCTCCTTAACTTCAGAAGTGGTTCTTTTCCTTTGTGAATAAGAAAACAAAGACATTTTATTCAGGCTGTTCTAAAATACACTAATTGGAAACCCAACATGGGCATTTTCTACATGAGAAAATGTAGAATTAGCTTCAGAGTGCAAGCTAAGTTATAGAACAGAAGCCGTTGTGTGTAGGCAGTGCCACGTCTCTGTGAATACATGGTTGGCGTCTTCTCCTTCGTTAATGGGGTACTTTTTGGGAAATATTTTAATAACTCCCTGTTTTTCTTTTTTAGGAACAGTATGAATTCTGCTACAAAGTGGTACAAGATTTTATCGATATATTTTCTGATTATGCTAATTTCAAATGAAGATTCCTGCCTTAAACTATTTTTTAATTTAATGGTCAGTATATTTTGTAAAAACACATTAATTTATTTCGTAGTTCACATTACGACGCTCCCTTGTCTCTGTGTATATTTTGTTACGCTTTACGAGACTTGCTGTGATGAAGTCATTCAATCCTAAAGACCCTTTTCTAAACTTGGAATAACATTAAGCTCAGATAATATGCCACCAAATATATATTTCTGCTAATATCAGCAAATATCTTGCATTTCATTAGATTCATATCACTTCAACACCTGTGTGTTGTCAGTTTTAATGTGCCAAGTGTGCTTGGGTGAGATGCTGACCACGGGGCCCCTCGAGGTCCCTCCACGCTGGCTTACCTGGCGCTGTCCTGGCAGCCCCGAGCAGCCGCCTTCTGCAAAGCCAGCTCTGTGGATGCGTTCTCAGTGGGGACTCTGGGCAAGGCCCGTGCTCGGCCCCAGGACATCCCCGCACATCTGGATCCTGGCCAACTTCTCATCCTGCACGCACAGTGGAGTAGCCAGGGACTGCGCAGTCCTCTTGGCACATGCACTCGCCCAAGGTGAGTCTGTGCCACCTTGCCTCGGTGGATGTGAGGCCGGGCAGCACAGCTAGCTGCTGCGGCCACCTGCCTGGTGCCGCTTGCCCTGTTTCCTTGCAGGCTCGCCGAGGGGTGCCGCCTGTCCCGACGTCGGGTGACCCTGGGCACACACGGGACTAGAAACAGCCTTGACATTTTCTGAGAAACATTTTGGTATTTAACAATTTCTTGTAAAAAGACTTTATATAAGAAGAGAAATCTTAAAATCTAGATTTGTACTTTTTTTTTTAAAGTCCCCCTTCTATGTGTTTAATAAAAGAAAAAGGAGGCATGCTTGCCCTAAAGGCTAGCTTATTTTGAGGCAAAAAGAAAAAAAAAACCTACTGAGATCTTTGACCTTTGACACTGGATATTGTGAAGTTTCCCCTGACAGTGAGGACTGGCTGAGGGGTGTATGTGAACGTGGGAACAGCTAATTTAATTGTAATGATCTTTCCATGGTCATTATATACCCAGAGAATGAGCACAATACCGAAATGAAGACAACTGGTCTATCTTACGGAACTCACTTCATATGTGTCTTTTTGGTACCTCTTTTGCTGCTCCAACAAGTTATAAAGGCCTTACGTGACATTTCCATTGATAACTGACCGTGCCCTCCTGTGGCAATGCTCACCTGCTTCTGGGTGGTGTGCGCAGCTCACGGGCAGCCGAGCTGCCAACCGTGCCGCTGCCCGAGCCCCATCCCAGCTGGAAGGACAGAGGCAGCTGTGCTGCCCCGTGGTCACCAGCAGCTGCAGCCCTGGCTCCCCTGGTGCCGTCTGATCGCCCCCCTCTACAAAGCAAGGGAGAGGATGTGGGAGGGGTCTTGATGTGCCAGTTGGCGGCCCATGTTGGGGCTGTGAAGGCCCCAAGCCCCGATGCCTTTGTTTACTGAGGAGGGGGCATCCACATGTTTACTGATGAGTCCATGTGTCCCTGAGTCCTGGAACAGCCTGCTTGTTAGTGGATGGGTACGCCCGAGCTCCCGGCACGGTCGGAGGGCATGGACCCAGGCCCGGGGTTAGCAGTCCTTGGCAGACTTCCTTGCAGCCCTCTTGTAGCAAAAAGTCCCTTAAGGGCGCTCTCTCCGGAGAGAGTCCTGCTTGCAAGTCTTCCCATCCCCTTGGAGGAGCCCCAGGGTTCTGCCTTTTCCCAGTTCTCCCTCACCCCGGACGATTCCAGAAACGAAGGTTGAGCCAGGGCCACGGACCACGGCCACCCTGCCCTTCACACAGGCCACCTTCCTTGGAGCAGCTGCCTGGGGAGAGAAGAGGCCACCGAGAGCTTCTGCAACTCCTGAAGGACCGCCCTCCTTCAGCCACAGAATGTCCAGGTGGACAAGGGGCGCCAGGGCGGCCAGGCTCTCCCTGCTGCATGCCGTTGCATTGCAAAGCCAAGGAGCGGTCAGCAGACTCGCTCTGATCCGCACCCGACGGTCACTGTGTGACTCCCCCTGCTGGACGCATGAAGAACGTGCACCCGCGTCCTCAAAGGTACTTTTTGTTTCTAGAGACTTTCAAAAGAACTTGAACTGTGTTTCTTCTTGGGAGACACGCCTGTGCCATTCTTTGAGAAATGTCTGCTTACTGATTTTTTTGTTTGTTTATTTAACTAGGTTGTGTTTATGTGCGATCTTGCGTGCATGTATTACAGTTCCAATTTGTTTCCTTTTATTCCATGTATAATTTGATCTTGCCCTTCCTACAATGCCAGTGAATGTTGCTGAATTCTTTGTATATGCAAACTGCAAGATCTAAAAGCATTCTGACACAAGGATAAACTTCCACTTTGACTACCAGCCTGTGACTCCTTGCAGTTGCTTCTTTCCATCCGTGTGCCTGATGCCGTTGGACACACCCTCCCAATTCGGTTTTTTAAGGCGAGTTTGTGACTTTGTAAATGCAGCCCCAGAGCAGTGGCTGCCAAGTGAGGAGTGAGTGAGAGGCCACCTGGCCACCGGGCAGTGCGAGGGCACAGCGCTGCCTGGGTGCACAGACGCGTAGCTGCAGGGAGCAGGCCCAGGGTGCACCCCAGGGAGCCCTGGCACCCCAGGGAGCTGCACACAGGCCCTGCACTGGGGCAGTGACCTGTCAGGCTTGCCGGAGTAACTGACAACTGCTTTAAAATCCACAGCTGAAGTCCTTCTGCTTAAGATTTTCTCCTAGACCCCACAACCTCTCAGACGCTCTCCCCCTACCCTGCCCTCAGGTGGACACATCCTTATGGCCCTGCTGAGTCCCTGCCTGCTCTGTCCCCCCGCCCCGTCCTCTGGTTTTTCCTTCAGCTGCTCTGGGCTTCACGGGGCATGTGGTGACATTGTTCTTGCTGTTGGTTGTCTGATGCGCCCTGTTCTATTGATGCCAGTGGACCACGTATCTTGTACGGTGGTTAGGGTACCACTGGAGGGGGCCTGCTCTGTGGCCAGCATCCCGCCTGGGTACCAGGTCATGTTCGGCCGCTCCACTTCTGATCTAACTTCCTGATGATGGCCTGGGGAAGCAGAGGAGGGTGATCGAGTGTTTGGGCTCCTGTCTCCACGTGGGAGAGCCAGACGAAGCTGCTGGCTCAGCCCTGCATAGAGTGAACCAATAATCAAAGATTCCCCTATCTCCCTTTCTAAGTGTGAGTAATTGTGACTTTCAAATAAATAAACAAGTCTTTAAGGGGGGTGCTGGCACAATGGCTCAACTGGCTAATCCTCTACTTGTAACTGCCAGTGTCCCATATGGGCACAGGCAGGCACTGGTTTGCGTCCCGACTGTACCATTTCCCATCCAGCTCCCTGCTTGTGGCCTGCAAAAGCAGTGGAGGACAGCCCAAAGCCTTGGGACCCTGCACTCGCGTGGGAGGCCCAGGAGTTACTGGCTCTTGGCTTTGGGTCGAGCTTAGCTCTGGTTGTTGCAACCACTTCAAGAATAAATCAACAACAAAGCTCTCTCTCTCCTTCTCCCTGTAGATCTCCCTTTCCAACAAAAATAAGTCTTAAAAAGTGATTGCCACTCATTTGGGGGAGTAGTCTATAATCTGGAGATTATACTTTTTAGGATGAAACCTGTCACTACGTACAACTTCATGAGCCTTCTCAGATGACAGGTTTGCAAACAGGCAGACAACCAACAAGATTTTCAGAAGTTCTTCTGTTAAAAATTAGGTAAATTAAAAAAAAAAGATGCAGTAAAATCATTGGAAGGATTATACTGCCTCACTAAGATAATAAACTTTTTCTAAGCAAGAAAGATTTTTACATGTTCATATTATATAACATGGGACAAAAAACTAGAGTAAAAGCATGAGTCCAACAGTTGACACAATTAAATGGGGGAGGAGCAACAGAGCGGCACAGCAAGCTAATCCAACATCCTATATCAGCGCTTGTTCGAGTCCCGGCTGCCCCACTTCCCACCCAGCTACCTGCTTGTGGCCTGGGAGAGCAGCCAAGGACGGCCCAAAGCCTTGGGTCCCTGATCCACGTGGGAGACCCGGAAGAAGCTCCTGGCTCCCATCTTCTCATCAGCTCGGTTCTGGTCGTTGCAGCCAGTTGGGGAGGGAACCAGTGATGGGAGATGTCTCTCGTTAAAGCCTGCCTTTCAAAGAAAATTATAACAAAACGTATGTGCTTAACGTTTTTAAAGGTAGAGCTGTCACTTTGGTTGTTTGAAAATGCAGTTTAACAAGTGAATGCGTATTATATGATTTTGCTGCTGACGAGTTTGTAACGTGCTTACGACGACACGTGGTCGTGTTGTGGTGTGGGTCGGTTGGTGGACGTGGTGATGCACACGGGACTCCCGCTCACTGCTGCGTGCTGGTACCACTCCATGACACCACTGACCCCGGGTCACATCCCATTCACTTTGTTTCCCTTCTTCCTGTTGAAACCAGACTGAGTCTGGGCAACTTGAAAGCTGGCTGCTCTGCTCTTAACTGTTTCTTTGCATCATTCATGACCTGGGGGGTTTAACTGTTCAGTAGTGTGTGGGCTCAAGAAAACAGACACATTAGTCAGGGCTTATGTTCCAAGTTCCCTCTCCTCCACAGGAAAATCCCTAACGATACAGAATTTACGAGCCAAGGGAAATGTTCTGGAGCTGTAGGCATTTGATAAACACATTCATCTTCTGCTGATGACGATAATTAGCATGTCTTGATGTTTACCAAGCTGCAGGCAGAATGCTAAATACTTGACACATATTGTCTCATTGAGTCCTCTCAACCACCCTGCGAGCTTGGCCCCATGGCACAGACAGAACTGTCTAGCAACGTTAAGACCTGTGCAAGGTCACACAGCTAGAAAAGAGACTGAAAGCCGAACCCCACCTTCTGACCCCCATGGCTGGGTTCAGGAGGCATTTGTAGCCTGCAAGGGTACAGAGCAAACCAGACAGGGCATGAACTGTGAGAACGGAGAAAGGAGCACCGTGCGTGACCTGGAGCAGCAGCAGCAGCAGCAGGAAGGCTTTGAACATGGGGGACTGACCAGTATCGGTCTGGGGTGACCTCAGCCACCAAAGTGGGGACAGTCTTGGCTCCGCTTGAGTCTAGCTTCCTGCTAATTCACACGATGCCGGGTGGCAGGCGGCTCACATGACTGGGTCCCTGTCCCTCAGGAAAGACCCGAGTGAGTTCCCGGCTCCCAAGTCTACTGCAGGCATCTGGAGTGAACTAGCAAGTGAAGCTTCCCTCCCTCCCTTCTCAGCTTAAATAAGAGCCCCACATGAAGCATCAGGTCGGGGATGCCCCTCGGATCCCACTAGAGGCATGCCATGTCCACTGCCTGGGGCCAGGGCTTGAAGTCAGATTGAGATCTAAAGTTGGGAACGGGTTGATGAGCAGTTCATGCAATGCAGAGTACAAGCCGAATGAAAGCTTCACTGCAATGGAATCATCACACATACGGAAAGACAGGTGTCAGAGAAGCACCTCCCTCCTGGTAGTTCTGTGCCTTCATGAATGTAATGGCTTTCTAGTTTGCAGACTACAGACAGCTCCGCGGAGGAAAGGCACGGGAAAGACAGTGACCATGCCCTAACACACTACAACAGGGAACGGGGCAGTCCCTGGAGTGTGACTCTAACAGCTCAGCTGCCAGCTTTCTACAAAACCCCAGAAATGGCATATCCCAGCCACACAACCTTGTATTGCTCTTAGCTGAAACAGCTGTCTTCATGGAGTTACCCGTTTGCAGTGGAGACATCGTGCCAGCAGCTGACATCAAGGGACCAGCAGCTGAGGCCCGAATCGCTGCGTGGTCAAGTCTGAGCAAAGTTTTCTCTTCCCTTCCTTGGTGCTTAGGGGATGCCAAACCACAATCGTACTCACATTTGAGGACCTTCCTCTGGCACTGATATAAATTCCATTCTCCAGCACCAGCGAGCCCCACGCCCTAGCCTGCAGCTCTCCCAGGACCTCAGGGTTGCTGGCTGAAACAACAGCTAGTGCCCTGGGTCACACCTCCGCTGCCGCGCCCACCAGATACATCAGGGTGGCAGGTAGGTTCCAACTATCAAGGCTTATTCTTGCAAGAATGAACGTGGCCATGAAGAGTTATTGACCAAGTCGCTGGCCAGCCATGTCCGTTGGAGAGGTAAGGACCCCAAACCGCCTCACATTGGCTCTCTCCCCTGTCAGCTGCTTTTCTTTTCCATACTCTATAATAAAGGTACCTTGTCTCAAGACCCTGGTTGGATCCCTCCCGCCAGTGGGCACTGGGATTATGCAGTCTGCCCTCAGCAGATAAAGCGTAGGTTCTAGCAGAAGACACAGAAACTCAACTCGTGGCTGTTTCTGCTTTGGCTCCAGAGCAAACCAAGGCCTTCCCCTTGCTGGGCCCGCAGGCAGCCTGCTACAGGCCAGGGTCTGTGTGAGCAGGAGGCAGGAGTCCACCTAGACAAAAGTAGAGCACTCCAGGCTGGCTTAACCCTGGGCAGCTTCTAATTAGGAACTCCCCAAGAGGGGCTGTCCCATGGAGACGTTGCCAAGTCAGCCAGCAGGTGGGCGTTGAAGCACATTTAGTCTAGGTCCATAACAATGCTTGAAGTGTTAGCAGCACGCACTTACAGCGGTATTTCTGCTCCACTTTGTTGTTTTGAAAGATTTATTTACTTGAAAGGACAGAGTAAGAGATTCCTTCATCTGCCGGTTTGTTTTTCATGTTTCAAATGGCTACAGTGGCTGGGGCTGGGCCAGGCCAAGGCCAGACGGCTGGAAGTGTTCAGGTCTCCTCCATGGGAAAAGGGAAGCAAGTCAGGGCCATCTTCCGCCACTTTCCCAACTCGTCAGCAGGGAGCTGCACTGGAAGCAGTGCTCCAGAGGGGGATGCTTGTGTCGTAAGCAGTGGCTTATGAAGGTTTTGAACTAGGTCCCAAGTTAAAAAGCCATTTATGCTTCACTCCTTCCAATGAACTTCTATCTCCTGCTTTGGCAGTCTTACCCTGCCCTTCAATACTTGGGATGCCTGCCTTGTCCATACTGCCATCGTCATCTCAGCTTGGCAAGACCAATGCTTGCGAGGACTGCAGAGCTGCCTGTAAGGGATGGGATGTTACTTTCTGACTTGGAAAGGAACGGGGTGGAGGTTGGGGGGCTGGAGCCATAGCTCAGCAAGTTAGCCCTCTATCTTTAGGCACCAGCATCTCATACGGGCACTGGTTCACGTCCTGGCTGCTCCATGTCTGACCCAGCTCTCCGTTTGTGGCCTGGGAAGGCGGTGGAGGATGGTCCAAGTCCTTGGGACCCTGCACACCCATGTGGGAGACCCAGAAGAGACTTCTGGCTCTGGATCGGCTTAAGTCTGGCCACTTGGGGAGTGGATCAGCAGATGGAACATCTTTCTTTCCTTCTCTCTGTAAATCTACCTTTTTAATAGAAATAGACCAATTTAAAATAAAACAAAACAAAAAACCCAACAACTGTGCAGGAGGGGTGTTGGAAATAAAACCGGAGAGAAGCAGAAGTTAGAGCTCCGTGGGTCTGACACTGAAGAAGCCCTGGCTCCCAGGGAAGCGGGGAGCAGGGGATGCGGGCGCCCCGTGCCAAGTCTGTCGAGAGATGGAGATTCATTTCAAAGACTTGACTGCTGCCTGTCCTGCGTGCACACTCTTTGTAGACACACTCTTAATGAAAGAAGGCGAGACTGCGGTCACCCCCTAATGCAGCGTCCCTTTGTCCTTAAAGATGGATTTGCAAGCCACCCTTCAAATAAATTCCTCTCTCTGAAGGCACGGGATAACAAAAATTCAGTTCTTACATAGACAGCCAGTAGCCTTGGGGTGGAGGTTCTGAGCCTGTGCCCAAGTCAGGGTCACCAGGACGGAAGTTGGGCCTTTCCCGTACCGATGAAGGGCATGCATTAACAAAAATAAGAGCAGTTTGACAATAATAGTTTAGACTCTTGCAGACTGAGAAATGAGGAAATCCAGGGCTTTATTTTATGAAAAAAGCCGTGGCCCCAAACCCACTTCCCACCCTGTAATTTTTAAATGTTTAAACCTCTGGGGGACCCAGCAAGCCCCTTCATGATCTTTTGAAGACCACTGAGCTGGGAACGTCCACCCTTTCTCAAACAGACACATAACATTACTTACAGAACCCATTTTACATAGAAAGCAAAAATTACACTAAGTATTCAGTGAACTGGCTTGACGTATTTCCCCGCTTTGGTTTCACTGCTGCACGTCTTCGCGACGCCTTCTGGTCCTCGTTTTCTTGGTGTACAGAAGGTCTATCCTGTTTGGGAAGAGAAATACAACTCTTTAGTAAAAGAACAATTTTGTTAACCAGCCCTGGTCTCAAACTCCCACACCCTTCACTCCCCACTAGATGTGAAACTGGTCTTCATTTGTGAGAAATTAACTTAGTGGTTTGGAGTTGGTCTTTTTTTTTTTTAATTAAACTGCTTTTCGTTCAGTTTTTAAGCTTAAATATTTCATTTTTGCATAAAAGTTTCTAATGTACTTTTAAAACAAATGCATGATACACTAAGGCGAGATTCCCCCTTGCCTGTAATGCCAGCATACCATCCGGGTACCAGGTCAGGTTTCGGCTCCCTGCCTGAGACCTGGAGAAGCAGCAGAGGAATGGACCAAGGCCTTGGGCCCCTGCGCCACGTGGCAGACCTGGAGAGAAGCTAAGCTGGCTCCTGGCTTCAGACTGCCTCAGCTCTGGCCATTTGAGGACTGAACAAGCGGATAGAAGACTCTCAGCTTCTGCAAAATCAGTTTTCCAAATATGAATAAATACATACTTAAGTAAGTAATGTTTTTTTAGCACCTTAGGCCAAAGGTCCCCAATGAGTGTCATCTACAATCTCCTGTGACGACAGAGGCAGAATGCTCCTCTGCCAACAAGAGCTTGCCTGCTCAGAAGGCGCACCCAACCCCAGGTCCTGGGGATCCGACACAGCCAAGCGGGGGTGCTGGGCATCTTTTATAAGGTAATTGTTCACCATGAGGGAAAAAAAAGATGGAAAATCAAAAAGGCTTAACCTTTGCTTTGACATAACTGACCCGTGTGTGACGTCCTTCACCTCATTTCCATTCATGCTGATAACTGAAATACCAGGGAGGCCAGTCACTGCTCCCACTCTGTTTCAGGCAGCCAAAGAGCATGAGACCACACTGGGAACCGCAGTAACCGCAGCAGCCACCCAAGGGAGACGCCCCCTCCGCCCTGCACGGGACCACACGGCCTCCCTGCTTCCAGAGGGCGCCGGGAGCTCCCCACCCCTTCTCGGCCTCCTCAGCATGCCGACGGAGCAGACATGACCGACACTGACCCGCACACTTAGGTCAGTGCCTTGGTCATTATCTCAGCGTCCAACAAGCATTGTAAAGCAGCTAGTTTGCATGTGTAGGTGGCCACAACAGGGAGTTCTGCTCAGTAATTGAGCACCAGATGTGAAATTCCCACCTCTCCATGGAACCTGGCCATGCGTTGCCGTGTCCCTGCGGGGCCTGGCCCTATGGGACCCAGCTGTGTGTTCCTGTGTCCCTGTGGGACCCGGCCGTGCGTTCCCGTGTCCCTGTGGGACCCGGCCGTGCGTCCCACGTGTCCATGGGGCCTGGCCCTGTGGGACGCGGCCGTGCGTTCCCGTGTCCCTGTGTCCCCAGGGGGCCTGGCCCTATGGGACCTGGCCGTGCGTTCCCGTGTCCCTGTGGGACGCGGCCGTGCGTTCCCGTGTCCCTGTGTCCCCAGGGGCCAGGCCGTAGGACCTCAGCCGGAGCCACGTGTGCTGCAGCCACGCTTCTTTTCCTTTTCTCCACCACAAGCCCTCGCAGCCACAGGGATCTCCCTGAAGAGCCGAGGAAGCTAAACGCACACACCTTCTACGTGCATTTTCTGGGTCCGAGAACAGCAGGAGCTGCCGTCCGTGGGCGGAGCACCAAGGTTAACACTGTTCCGGAATCTCCTGGGTGCTGGGGAGTGACAAGGCACAGGCCTGATGCCCACACACTTAGCTGGCTGGTGTGTCAATGTATCGTCCAAATCTGACAAATACTGTTTTACATTTCTTAAATTACATCCTGATAAAGCATTATTTTGCAAACTAGGAATTTGGTGACTAAGCCCTGGGTTTATGTTACATTAAGCTATGAATGAGGTGAACACACTAAGTCACACGGGGCTGAGGTCCCAGTGCCTGGTCCTTGAGGACTCACTGCCACCTGTCTCCCGCCAGCAGCAGGGCCACTGCTGCAGGCAGGCCACTGCAGCAGCCACACCTCCCTGCGGCTCCCTGCCCACGCCCACGCCGCTCAGTCTGCTGTCCTGGCGGCATGTCAGGTTTTCTCGGCTCCTTCCGGCAGTCCCTGTGGATGTTTCCTAGGTTGACTCACAGAATTGTACAGCTAAGAATTTTGCTGCATTGGCTTCACTGGATGAACTCAAAGAAGGCTGGTTTCAGATTCAACTTCGTGTGCTAAGAGCGATTTGGCACTTCTCACCAAGGCTGCTGTTCACTCTGTGGCCCGTTTAGTTTAATTCTGTCTTTCCCAAGAAATGCTGACACGGTCAACTTTGTGGTTCAGCCAATCTGTTCAACTAAGGAGACTGCAGGTAACCCACCCACAATGACTGCGTAAGGCTCGAGTGGTCGCAGCATGCTCACCAGAGAGCTCTACTTCTTGCCTGAATGAAATTGTCATAATGCAAACGAATTCCTCGAAGACGAATTTCTAAGATAACATAAAAGAGAGCTATGGTGACAAATTAAATACCCGAAATGAAAACTTTCTGCGTTAAATGTTCCGTGCGAGCTAGGGGCACGCAGATGGCACACCTTGTTGGTCAAGGCCTCGGCCCTGCAGACACACGCACACGGCCCGGGCACTCACTTTGTCTGGGTCGTGCGCCCGCCGCCCGCCTGCCCGGGTCGCTCTCTGGGAGTCCGCGCCAGGGCGGACGCGGGGCTCCCCGGGTGCAGCTGCCTGCAGCCCGCGCTCAGTCTTCACGGACGCGTCCCCCCGTGTGCCGCTCTCCTTCACTGCCGCCGTGTTCTCCTTCCCGAATCTCACGCGCGTTCCCCTGGACCGAAGTTTCTCGGCTCCCTCATCTGGCTTCTGTAGCTCCTGCTGTTCGAAGACCTCATTTTTCTGCATTTTAATGTTTTCCGCCGGCAGAAGGAACCTAAGTGTTTGCCTTTCTTCCACATCTGTTTTATTTCGACATCTGCGGCGTGAGGGCATCTCCTAAGGACACGGAAAGACATCCACAAAATTTCAGTAAGTAGAAAGAATCTAAAAGCTCAGCCAGGAGAGGAAACGCACCAGGAGCCAGCGTTGTGGCACAGTGGATGAAGCCACCAGCTGCGGTGCTGCCGTTTCATGTGAGTTCCACGTAGTGTCCCAGCTGCTCCACGGTTCCATCCAGCCATGGCCTGGGAAGAGCAGGGAGATGCCCAGGAGCATGGAACTCTGCCACACGGACCGAAACCTGGAGCAAGCTCCTGGAGCCTGGCTCCATCCTGGCTGTTGTGGACACTTGGAGAGTCAACCAAAGGAAAGAAGATCTCTCTCTCTGTGTAGCTTTCAAATAGTAATTTTAAAAATCTAAAAACAAACAAACCTTAAAGGAAAATCACTCAAACACTGTATCATACCTTGCAGGTAACCACTGCCAAACGGAGACCTACTTGGGAAAAGATACCCATTTATAAAGTTAGATTTATAATTTGTATAATTTATAGTTTATACACGGTGGATAACATTCATCCAAGTTGGCACTTAATGACCGTGCAATGCCCTCTTTTACCTTATTTGGAGTGATCGGAGCTTCTTCAACTTCCTGCTTTGCAGCTTTGTTTTGGGTGTTGAGATTTTCTGCCATCTTTTTCGCAGAGGTCCTCGGGCGTTTCGCCGTCTTCTCAGGCTGCGGGGACTGGTCCTGCTCGCTGCAGGCACTCCTCTGTCTCTTGTTGGCTGGCCTCTTTGCCACAAGCTCCACCGAGCACGATTTCTTGGCTCCTGGAAGGCTTCCGTCTTCTCCACACCCGCTCTGCGGAGCCAGGGGACGGCTACTTGTGCTCTGCAATTCTGCAGGGTCTTCCACCGCTTTGACTCTAGAAGCCCTCAGGATTCTTTGGAGCATTTTAGGAGACGTTGCTCTGTCGGGGGTTGCCTCTGGGATGTCCTTGAAGGTATGGACACCAACGTTCAGCTCCTCCATGTGACCTGGTGTTGGGGACAGTCCCTTCAAGCTATCCTGGTGCTCTAGGGGTTGAGTCTTTGCCTTACGTGTTCTTGGCTGTCTCTTGTTGCCAATTACACCTGCTGCTGACTCAAGTTTCTGCTCTTCAGATTCCTCCAAGGCCCTGACGTCTTCATCTGCTGTTCCAGGCACAGGTGCGGGCTCCTCTGATGGCTGTGGGAGCTTCCTGCGTGTCCGTGTCGAGACCTCTTCTTTCACATCTGCTTTCTTGACAGCTGTCCTGAGCTGCCTCCTTGTTCTGGTCTGGGTGTCCATCGAATCTGCTCCTGGAGCATTGGACAGGTCAGTGGTTTTCTCGTTAGTTGTTGATGCCTGTGTGTGATCTGCTGCGTGGAGCTCTTTCAAGCCATCAGGTTCTGCTGCGGGTTGAGTCTTTGCTTTACGTGTTCTTGGCTGTCTCTTGTTGCCAATCACATTTTCTGCTATGTCCAGTTTCTGCTCTTCAGATTCCTCCAAGGCCCTGACGTCTTCATCTGCTGTTCCAGGCACAGGTGCGGGCTCCCCTGATGGCTGTGGGAGCTTCCTGCGTGTCCGTGTCGAGATCTCTTCTTTCACATCTGCTTTCTTGACAGCTGTCCTGAGCTGCCTCCTTGTTCTGGTCTGAGTGTCCATCGAATCTGCTCCTGGAGCATTGGACAGGTCAGTGGTTTTCTCGTTAGTTGTTGATGCCTGTGTGTGATCTGTTGCGTGGAGCTCTTTCAAGCCATCAGGTTCTGCTGCGGGTTGAATCTTTGCCTTACGTGTTCTTGGCTGTCTCTTGTTGCCAATCACATTTTCTGCTATGTCCAGTTTCTGCTCTTCAGATTCCTCCAAGGCCCTGACGTCTTCATCTGCTGTTCCAGGCACAGGTGCGGGCTCCCCTGATGGCTGTGGGAGCTTCCTGCGTGTCCGTGTCGAGACCTCTTCTTTCACATCTGCTTTCTTGACAGCTGTTCTGAGCTGCCTCCTTGTTCTGGTCTGGGTGTCCATCGAATCTGCTCCTGGAGCATTGGACAGGTCAGTGGTTTTCTCGTTAGTTGTTGATGCCTGTGTGTGATCTGCTGCGTGGAGCTCTTTCAAGCCATCAGGTTCTGCTGCGGGTTGAATCTTTGCCTTACGTGTTCTTGGCTGTCTCTTGTTGCCAATTACACCTGCTGCTGACTCAAGTTTCTGCTCTTCAGATTCCTCCAAGGCCCTGACATCTTCATCTGCTGTTCCAGGCACAGGTGCGGGCTCCCCTGATGGCTGTGGGAGCTTCCTGCGTGTCCGTGTCGAGACCTCTTCTTTCACATCTGCTTTCTTGACAGCTGTTCTGAGCTGCCTCCTTGTTCTGGTCTGAGTGTCCATCGAATCTGCTCCTGGAGCATTGGACAGGTCAGTGGTTTTCTCGTTAGTTGTTGATGCCTGTGTGTGATCTGCTGTGTGGAGCTCTTTCAAGCCATCAGGTTCTGCTGCGGGTTGAATCTTTGCCTTACGTGTTCTTGGCTGTCTCTTGTTGCCAATCACATTTTCTGCTATGTCCAGTTTCTGCTCTTCAGATTCCTCCAAGGCCCTGACGTCTTCATCTGCTGTTCCAGGCACAGGTGCGGGCTCCCCTGATGGCTGTGGGAGCTTCCTGCGTGTCCGTGTCGAGACCTCTTCTTTCACATCTGCTTTCTTGACAGCTGTCCTGAGCTGCCTCCTTGTTCTGGTCTGAGTGTCCATCGAATCTGCTCCTGGTGCATTGGACAGGTCAGTGGTTTCAGTGGCCTTTACATCACCAGTTGGTTTTTCTGTGTGAACTGGTGTTTGGAAGAGTTCTTTGAAACCATCTAAGTCTTCCAAGGGCTGGGACTTGTCCTTAGGTGTCTCTCGCTGCCTCTTGCCTCCAGCTGCACTTGTCGGTGAGTCAAGTTTCCGTTTTGCAGATCCCTTCAATTTTTTGACCTCTTTTTCACAACCTTCTGGGACTCCTAACACTTTGGGTGTGTAGGCAGCTTCTCTTGACATTTGCGTACCATTTGTCTGTACTGAAGACTCGTCTGGCACATTTACATTAGTGAGGTCTGTCTTGAGATGCCCCTTGCTTGCTGGTGCTCGCTGCTCAGATGCGCAGCTTATTCCAGTGGTCTTCCCATCACTCACTGATTCCTCAGTATGAGTGGGTGTTTGGAAGAGCTCTCTGAGGCCAGCCAAATCTTCTTCAGGCTGGCCCTTCTCCTTGGGCGTTCGTGGCCACCTCCTGCTGCTAGCTACACTTCCTGCTAGATCCAGTCTCTGCTTAGAAGACCGCTTGGAAGTTTTTACGTCCATATCACCTTCTGATGTTTTCAAGGTGTCCGTCGGCACGAGTTCCCTCCCAGGTGTCTCGGACCATGCTTCCCTGCTGGCCGGGGTGCTCTCCAATGCAGGGAGCTTGCAGGATGTCCTGGTGCTTTTCCCATCACTCATGGATTCAGTGTGATCCGGTGTTTGGAAGAGCTCCTTGAAGCCTGTCAGGTCTTCCAGGTGTTGGGTCTCTTCTCTGGGGGCCTTTGACCGTCTACTGCCAGTCACACGTGTTGATGGCTCTGCTTTCTGCTTTGCAGATTTCTTAAAAGCTTTGATGGTTTTGTCTTCATCTTCTTCCTCTTCTCGCGTGAGAACTGTTTCCCGGGAGGCATGGGTGAGCGTGAGTGCCGAGTGCTCCTCTAAACCTACTGTGGCTGCAGGTGTCTTGGGGGGTGCCCTCATGCTCGCCGAGACGTTCTCCGGTTCTGCTCGTGGAGACTGGCAAGGTGTTTGCAAGTTTTCCCCACCACTCTTTGGTCCCTCAGGGTGCCCCGGTGTCAGGAAGAGCTCTCGGAAGCCAGTCAGATCTTCCAGACTCTGTTCCACTTCAGGAGTCCATGAGCGTCCCCTACGCCCACTTAAGTTTTCTACTGGTTGCAGTTTCTGCTTTGGAGTGTGGGTAAATTCTCTCACATCTTGCACGCCGTACGTTTGTAGGGGTGTACGTGGGGCTCTGTCCGATGACCGTGTAGGCTGGAGTGCCGGGAGCTCTCCCTGTACTTTCCTCAGACTCCTCTTACGTGAACCCTTCAAGCTGGCTGGGGTTTGGCCAAATTCTCCTGAGTTGCAGGGAGTTCTGGCATGACCTGGTGTTTGGAAGAGTTCTTTGAAGCCGGCCAGGTCTTCCACGGGCTGGGAGTTTTCCTCACGTGTACCTCGCTGGCTTTTGCTGTCAGTTACCGTGCTTGCTGGATCAACTTTCTGTTCAGCATGAATTTTAGAAACTTCAAAACTTTTATCATCACTGAGCGGTGCTTTTGGGAAGGGCGCGGCTTCCCCTGACAGTCGTGTGAGCATCTTCTGTCCTGACGTCTCATTTCTCGGAGATGTCTTCCGTCGTTTCCTCGTGCTTGCTGGGGTGTTTGCTGGTTCCAGTTGCTGCACTTTGAAGGTTATCTCAGTGGCCTCTGCACCACTCTTGGGATCTTTGGTGTGACCCGGGGTTAGGAAGAGCTCTCTGACACCAGTCAGGTCTTCCAGAGCTTGGTCCTTTGCCTTAGGTGTTCGTGGCCGGCCCCCAAGTCCACTGAAACTTTCTGTCAGGTCCAGTTCCTGCTTGGGAGTCTCCACAGGCTGTTTGATGCCTTTCACGTTCCCTGTGGGTGTTTGTGCCGTGTGCCCGGCTTTGTCTGCGGATCGTGTGCGTCTGCCGGGAGTCAGCGGCTCTTCTGACACATCCTCTTTCCCCAAGCCCACCTTGCGCCGAGCCTTCATCCTCGCTGGGGTTTGCACAGGCCCAGGCTGCGGTGACATTGTGTCTGTGGCATGACCTGGTGTTTGGAAGAGCTCTTTGAAGCCACTCAGATCTTCCAGAGCCGGGCCCTTCTGCCGAGGTGTCTGAGACCGCCTCCCACCTCCTCTTGTCTTTTCTGTCATGTACGCTTTGTGCTTGGGAGTTTCAGTAAATGCTTTAATGCCTTTTTCAGCACGTGCTGCTTCTTGAGGTAAGAACACGGCTTCCTCTGATGGTTCTGTCAGTTTCCTCAATTCTAGGCGTTCTTGTATATTCACTTTCCCAAGGCTTGTCCCGAGTCGGCTTTTCAAACGTGTTGGCGTTTGAGTGAGTTCTGGTTGTGGTAAATTCCCCGGAATTTCTGTAATTTTTTCAACAGTCGATGGGTTGCTGGCACGATCTGGGGTTTGGAAGAGCTCTTTGAGGCCAGCGAGGTCTTCTAAGACCGCGGCCTTTTCTTTGGGCCGCCTTGGCCCTCTCTTACTGCCATTTACAACTGCTGCTGCATCCATTTTCTGCTTTGCCAACTCGCTAAAAGTTTCAAAATCTTTGCCATCACCTCGTGGTGCTCTGGGTGTGTGCACAGCTTCTCTGGTCGTCTGCAGTGCTCCTCCCAGGTCGACATGTGCTTGCTTCAGGGGCGTCTTAGGCTGTGTTCTGGGGCTTGCCAACTCGGGCTGAGCAGTCCTACAGGGCCCTACAGTTATTTTGCCAACAGCCAAAGACTCATTGGAGAATTCTGGAGTTTGGAACAGTTCTTTGAAGCCAGTAAGGTCTTCTAGGGGTTGGGACTTGTTCCTAGGAGTTCTGGGCAACCTCCTCATGCTCGTCAGGAAGGCTGCCAGGTCGAGACTGTGCCCTGGCGCTCCCTTGCCCATCCCGGCGCTTGCGTCGTCCTGCAGCGTGTCGGCACGCTTCGGCCTTTTCTGTGCCGAGCGCTCTGCGCTCTCAATCCTCGCCTCGGGAGGAGTCTTGAGCGATCTCCTGCTGGCCGGGGTTCTGGTGAGTTCTGCTTGTGCAGACCCGCAGGGCACCTCGGTGGCTTGGCTCTCCGCGTTCACCGGCTCCTGAAAGAGCTCACAGCTGGGCCCTCGCTCCTCAGTGGATTCACACTTCTGCCCCCAACTTCTGCTCGATCTCCTCAGAGGAGTTGTCCTTTCAGAACTTTCTCCGGATTTGAGACTTTCCTTACAAGTTCTGGAAGGTCTTTCTCCGTCCCCCGCTGCTTTCTGCTCTTGCTGTGGCGTCTTCCTGGGAGTTCTTCCGCCGACGCGCTCAGCGAGGCCGGCCTGTGTCTGCTTGTCTTCACTTTCTGAGGGTGTCACCTGAATATTCCCAAGCTCTGCAGATCTTCTCAACCTCTTTAAAGTAGACGCTGTCTCTGAACATGGGGCCTGATTCCTGACAGGAGTCACTTTAGAGCCGCTCCCAGGCGTTTTCACATCTCCTTTCCCCCGTGTGCTCTTCCGCCTTAACGCAGGGCTTGCAGAATACTCATCAAGTGACCATTTTGCTGCGATTGGGGTACGAGAGATCACATTTTCTCCTGCAAGAAATAAAAATATATATAATACATATGCCATTAGTACTATTACCTTCGTTATACAAATTTGGGATTTAATTGCTATGAAACATAAAAATAATTCAGTTTTATATCTCCATGACTGAAAGTATCAGAGTACATGTCGTTAGATGGCTGTTACACCCAGAGAGCATCAAACTGTAGAATAATGATGCTTGCTGCTACCCAGCAGCGACATAACCGCCTCCCTCTGTGGTTACAATCAAGGAAATCCTTCTTTAAGGTTTTCTGAAGGCTGGCATGCCATGGCTAACTGACCTCAATAGAGCCGTTTGCGCTGCTCAAACAACTCGTGGTTGTTGAACCACCAATGGGGCGCCTTCCGCAGGGGATCAAGGATCCCCTCTGACGGGACCCGCCGAGAAGCTAAGACAGAACGCACAGCTCCCCTCCGACGCTCACCCTGCAGTCTGATTCCTTCTGCAAGGCTGGGGGATGGAGGGCGTGGGATACAGAAAGAGCTAGCTGTGCTCTCATTCGTAGCAACTTTCAATTCGGATGATGTATAGACTTACGGTGAGAGAATAATGCACTCTGCTTTACTCCCCTCTTCCTAACAAGTTAAAAGCATGCACAGATCATTGAATGCTATTGACTGAGATTCTCGTCGTAGCTCAGCAGGTGGGAGTGTCAACTCCACAGCTGACAGGACAACAGAAAACTTCATCAGGATTCCCTGATGCCAAAAAGTCACACAGTATCTTTAAGAAAGAAATAATATCATCTCCAAGTTCCTAGCCAAAAACGTTAGCGTTCTAGAGGAAGAAGTAAACCAACCCAAAGTCTCCGATGTGGGCGGCGCAGACTTTTCTCCCGAAACATTCACTTCCGATTTTTTTCCAAGCAAATTCTCTGAGAGAGCGACGGGACGGGTGCTCGTGGCCGGCTCTTCCTTCACGGGGGTCTTGAACATTTCAGCCAGCCCTGTCAAGTGGACAATTTCAAACACATGTCTTTCACACAACTGTCACTCAGGACGAACCAAACAATTACAAACAATAGAAACCTTCTAGAACTTTTCCTGGCCCACAAAGACCTATAAAAAGGGTAATTTTATTTACAGTGAGAGAGAAGACAGACTCTTTATTTTTCTTGGAAATGAAAGAAAATGAAGCAAGCATGCGTCTGTGCAGAACTGTCCCCAGTCTAAGGCTCCGGCAGGCAGGTGGCTGGCCGAGGGCTCACCCCGCTGGGCACCCCGAAACCGACAGCTCTCATGTCATCTTCCAGCAGTTCTGGACTTTGGGACTTTATGTTCAAGTTAACTGGCTCACATTTTAGAAAAATGCTTCCCACTTTTAGTACTGTCAACTAATGAACTATCTTTAAAAAAAAAATTAGCACTATCCTTCTCTTTAATAGTCCCATATAACCTTAGGGGAAAAAACGTAATTCTTCATATGGAACACTATGTGAAAAACATAAAACTCCTGTGTTTGCCTCATTTTTCTCATTCTGGCTTTGCCGGATGAAGACCCTGCAAGTGAAAGCTGCAGAACGTGCCGGGAGGCCTTCTGGAAGCAGCCCGTCCGCTGACCATCCCCCCACTAGTCACTTCACCCCTTAATCCAAACGCTATAGACTAGTCCCCAGTCGAGATGGGCATCTGGAAATACAAGTTATACCAGGCAATGCGTTTTGCTTGACCGTAGGAAAGTGTTTAAAAGAATGCAAAATATAACTATGTATATTCTACATGTATTTACCCACTTGTACAGTTGCTATATACAAATACATACTGTGAATCGTGTCACTATTCTACAAGCACAATACATCTCTAAGTTTATAAGCGTCTACACACATTCCTCGCTGGTCTTTTGTTTCTTGATTTAACAGATAAGTGTGTCTCTTTCTGGAGGTAACTGGCATGCGTTACCCCGCGGAGTACAGAGCTCCTAACTGCCAACCTGCTGAGACAAAGCCGTCTCCAGGGCAGTTCACACCTCGCTTCCCTCCGGAAACACACGCGGTGCAAACAGCAGGACTAACTCTATACCGCGGAATCTTCCTGCCGTGGTTCTTACCTATTACAACTCTTCTCTGGAGAGTGAAAACACGATTATTCAATGATCACTGGCCTAAAGCTTCCCAGAGTTTTCTTTCAAGGAACAATTAAGCTGACTAGAAAGAAGAGCACACTGCTTCAAAACCATCGGCCCATCCTTGGGAAAACCACTGGCACAACTTCCGGGAGAGGGCAGACAGGAACAAGAGCCAGTTTGCCTCCGTCAGGCAGCACACCAGACCCCAGCATCTCAGAACTGCCCTGCTCCAAGTCAGCTCCACCTTCCCCAAGCACGCTGATCCCAGCCAGCCGATCCCGCCGTTTATCTTACAACCCCGTTTACAGCAAAGAAACACAGGTAGCAAGAATCAGTGTCGGACAGGCGGCCGAGAGGAACTGTTGTTACCTGAGAGGTCCTCATTATAGTCCATCACTCTGCTGTTGAGAGCAAGGTTGTTGAGCATCCTGTAAGGCCGAGCAGGCGCACTCACTTTGGCCACACGGGCTCTCCCTATGACGATGGTGCAGGGGGAGTTGGCGTGGCCTGTACTAAACTGACCGGGCAGCTGGTCTGCAGGCTTCTAGAGAACACACCAAAGCACACGGTTAGCCTGCACGCAGCCTTCGCGCCGGCGCGGTGGACACAGCGCACGTGGGACAGCTCACCTTGGGAGTGTCGGGTCTCTTCTGTCTCCTGTTCACCTGCCTTGGAGGACCAGGCCTTACAGCCTTAGTCTGTGCTTGCTTCGCGCCAAGCTTCACTATATCCGCCCACGACTTTGCCACTGTTGAAGAGAAGAGATGGTGAGCCTACGGACACCAGCACGAATGGAAGCGCTCACCGTAGATGTATCAGTGTAATACCAACCAATTAAATTGGCTTCTGAAGCGCCACTCCTTCTTTTGGAACAAATCATCTGTAAAATATCATGTTGACTCCGACCGACGGACGTCCTCTTGGAAGGTAAGGTGCCACTCTTCCTCCCTGCTCTCCTAGCGAAGCCTGCCTGCTGGGGGGCTGAGCTGCCACCAGAGGCCGAGGACAGCCTGCCCGACCTGCGCCTCTCTGCACTCGAACCCGGAGCGCCAGGGGCAGGACTCCGCAGCAGGCTTTGTGTGGGCACTTCCACAGAGATGTCCGTAGAAGGCTCTTGTCCTGACGGCTGAGGGTTTTCCTGCCAAGACAGAAAATGCACAAGAAAGCTCACCAAGATGGCAACATCTGTCCCAGTGAGCAGAACCTCAGCTCCTTAAACCCTAAAACAGCTAACATCCGAACCACCCAGCACACACCAGCTCCCTGAGCCTAAGGCCAAGGCTGAGGTGGAACTATCCTACTCATTTCAGAAACAGAAAGGCTATTCAAGGAGCAAAATGAGGTATTTAAGACAAAAAGAAAACAGTACCAGCAAGCAGAAACCTCAGTCCCAGCACACACCAGCTCCCGGGATCTGCTCTGGAGGGAGGCCCAGCACACACCAGCCCCCCCCCAGGATCTGCCCTGGACCAAGACCCAGCACACACCAGCCCCCCGGCAGCTGCTCTGGAGGGAGGCCCAGCACACACCAGGGACCACCCCGCCCTCCAGATCTGCCATGGACCACCAGCCCCCCTGGGATCTGCCCTGGAGGGAGACTGCTTTTGGGAAGCAGGATAAAATAGGAAGGAGCTAGGCATGCATTTTTGCTTTTTGCACTAAGGGAAGATAAAGACCACCCAGCTTATGAAGGTGGGCTCTGGGTCCCATCTCCCTAGAGATGTAAAAACGAGTGGCCACATGGCACGGTGAGTTAAGACCTCACGTGAAGGCACCGACATCTGAGCTCAGAGTGCCTGGGACGGAGTCCTGCCTGGACTTGACGTGCCTGGCCCAAGTCCTGGGGTTCCTGTCACCCACGTGGGAGACCCTGGTTCCTGCTTCCCGACTTCCACCCCCGTCCTAGCTGCTGCAAGGACTGATCAAACACCTGCTTTCCTTCTTCCTTTTCCTCCCCCATCACTCTACCTTTCAAACAGATTCAAATATAGTAATTAATAATAATAATAATAATACAGAAGCTTAATGGAAAGATATTTCTTAGCTGTTTAGAAATACATAAAGCAGCAAAGGACGGCTGACTGGAAGATTTCACTGATCAGATCCTCTGCTAAAAGAAAACAAAGCGATGCTTCTGGTACCAGGCTGAGATGCAGCCAGCACCCGTTAGCTGGTAGTTTTCACAGAGGCCCACAGTGACCATGCGGTTCCTGCAGGTGATTCGGGGGGAGTGCTAAGGAGCCGCCAGCCCTCTGCAGCCCAGCCCTCTGCAGGCCAGCCCTCGGCAGGCCAGCCCTCTGCAGCCCAGCCTTCAGCCGCCCAGCCCTCTGCAGCCCAGCCTTCAGCCGCCCAGCCCTCGGCAGGCCAGCCCTCTGCAGCCCAGCCTTCAGCCGCCCAGCCCTCTGCAGCCCAGCCTTCAGCCGCCCAGCCCTCTGCAGCCCAGCCCTCTGCCCTCTGCAGGCCAGCCCTCTGCAGCCCAGCCTTCAGCCGCCCAGGCCTCTGCAGGCCAGCCCTCGGCAGCCCAGCCTTCAGCCGCCCAGGCCTCTGCAGGCCAGCCCTCGGCAGCCCAGCCTTCAGCCGCCCAGCCCTCTGCAGGCCAGCCCTCTGCAGCCCAGCCTTCAGCCGCCCAGCCCTCTGCAGCCCAGCCCTCTGCAGCCCAGCCTTCAGCCGCCCAGCCCTCTGCCCTCTGCAGCCCAGCCCTCTGCCGCCCAGCCCTCTGCAGCCCAGCCCTCGGCAGCCCAGCCCTCTGCCGCCCAGCCCTCTGCAGCCCAGCCCTCGGCAGCCCAGCCCTCTGCCGCCCAGGCCTCTGCAGCCCAGGCCTCTGCAGCCCAGCCCTCTGCCCTCTGCAGCCCTGCCCTCTGCAGCCCAGCCCTCTGCAGCCCAGCCCTCTGCAGCCCAGCCCTCTGCCGCCTCAGAGCAGCTGGCAATCCTGTGCTCATTCTCTAGCATCCAAATCAACAGGCTGTCACTTAGCTTTTTAGAAACGGACTCAGTTCCGCTTCCGTCAGGACTCTGGAGGCAGCGCCGAGCCGCTGTCAGGCAAGCCTACCTTGACGATCTTTTTCAGGACGGTGGGCGTGGCGAGAGACCGCCTTTTCGCCGGTGTTTCTCCCCGCTTGAGGGGCGTATTTGGAGGCAAGTTCTCATCAAACAATTCAGGCCTCAGACGACCACCAAAGGACACGCGCCTTCTTTTCAAAGACATCCCCTCATTCTTACCTGAAGTAACACAAGTGTGAGAACAGAGATGTGACAAGAGCAAGGAAAAGGCTACACTGAGACTAAGGGCTCATTCAGTGTGAGAACTGACGAGCCAAGCACCCACTGGAAGGTGAACCCACAGCACCACACCATTCTCATAGTGCTCAAGAGGGCGAGACTGCTTCCAGACTTCTTGGAAGATCTTAGGAGACACCACTGAGGCATCAGGTTTGTAGGCAGCAGCGGCGTCCCCCTGGAGCATGAGGTCCAGAGATGGGCTCTAAGCAGTGGCCTTAGACTTCCTAGGGCGACGTGGACTTGGGCACACCCACATCCAGCTACTGCACTAAGCAGACAAGTGGTCCTTTCTCCAGGTGATTCTCAGCCACATCTCACCCACCCCAGCCCCACCACATCGCTCCCTAACTCCGCCTCACGGTCAACCTGCTCTCCCAAGGAAGGGGCATGTCCGCCTCAGGACCGAGGGGTTCAGTCCGCAGGCAGTCATGCCCCCACCCCGCGAGGCCACTTGCAGAAACAGTCCTGGGACCAGGACAGCAGCAGCAGCACGATGCCAAAGGCAGGAAGAGGCCCGGGAACTGCGATGTCGGCTCGACAGGTCCCACCACTGGCGAAACAGAGCAAGAAAACTTACTCCGGGCAGTCCTCCTGCTTTGGGCCTCAAAGGCCAATGTTTGTGAAGCATTTAGAACTGTGCCCAGGACTGTGGCCCGAGGGCCAGAGCCAGTTGCCTGACAGCAATCACCGCGCTCGGCCGCGGTTTCCAAGGCATCACCTGACTCTCACATGACCCAGCTGACCGTAATTCTGAACTCAAGCCCACAGGAAAAGCAATTGCGATTATTCTGCTTTCTGTGTTGCAATACATGGGAAAGGGGAAGGAGTCATGCCTGGGTCACTGCCCGTGGTCAGCAGGGTCCTGAGCTGTGCCCCCCACCCCCTTCACTCCTTGTCCTCAGCAATGAGCTGTGAGCTGACACTAGGTCTCCAACACTGTGCTGGGGGCTGAGTAGCTTCATCCTTCTCACAAACTCATATAAGGTAGGCATGAAAAGATTTAAACAGACTTACTAATGGGATCGCCAGAGTTGCTGATATCAACTGAACTAAGACCAGGTAACCCGGAGCAAGTCTGGGTAGGATCCGACTTTTCAGGCTTCCGGGGGGAGTCCTTCGGCATCTTCTCCGTGCGAGCAGGCCACTGAGCCAGAGGCCGGTTCTGGATTTCCGTCTCCATCGGCAGGACGGCCACACGTGCAGGGACGCTCCTTCTGCTCTTGGGAGAGAGGCGTGCTGGCGTGCCGGCCGCCGAGGAGGCGCCCTGCGCTGCTGCTGGTGTCCGGCTCGGGAGCCTCCCGGGACTGACCGACCGAGCAGCGGCCTCGCTGCCTCCGCCTGTAACTAACTCGGCGGGCTCTCTGCCCTCGGCAGCACACAGGTCTTCGTATTTTCGTTTGTGTGAGTATTGCATTGGGCTCTTCACTCTGCTCACTCCAGAGACAAGGGCGTAGCTCTGGGTGGGCGTGAGGCCCACCGCACCTGGCCGCGCCGGGCTGCCCTCCGGCTCAGGCTCCCACTGCCCGAGTGAGGGTCTGCCACACCTCGCCCGGGGCCTCCCCGAGCCCGTCTGCTGGCCCGCTCTCTGCAGGGCGTCGGGACTTGTCGCTTCCGCCATCAAGTCGGCCTGTGATCCTGACGGCCTGCGAAGTTGCAGAGCGCTGCGTCTTCGTGACTTGACGTCCAACTCCTTCTTGAGGGACTGGTAGAGCTCCTGAAAGGGGGACTCCTCGTTCTTGCCCTCGTGCAGACCTGGTGTGGAGGGGAGAGGCTCCAGCCCTCCATCGAAGCTCGCCACCGCTCCCTCCGAACTCCGCTCGGACCCCTTGGAAGTGAGAGCTCCTGCATGTCCGCCACGTCCAGGACGCTCCGGCGGCTGCACACCAGGCACTCCCTGGGCGCCGCTGGCTTCTGAGCCACGGCTGGCTCTGGTGACACGGCTGGCAGGCGTCGGAGGCCTTCCTGAGACACTTCCCTCAGCGATTTCTGAATGGACTTTGGAGTCCTGATTTTTCTCATCTTGGCAAGATTATAAAACAAGAAACAGAAGTTCAGCATTTTCTAAGTGATAAACACTGGTGGGCTTTAATGCTTCACTTCAAACTCCCTTATTCTACAATCACTTAATGCCTAAAATTGGTAGGTCTTATACCAGCATTACAATCCAAATAGATGTCATTAGATTTTAACAACCGGTAGCAGCTATCACTAGCTATCAACCAATCAGGATTAAGCTGACAAATGAACAGTCCACTTATACATGAACTGTTCCTAGACACAGCATCCTATCCGTTACCAGGAAAAAAGTCAGCTCGGGTACCCACGAATGTCCGCCATGCTAATGACCCAGCTACTCAACGCCTGCCGGTGGCGCTGTCCCCAATGGGCAAGGTACACAGAAGCCCAGAATGAAAGGAAAGCATTACAAACCGGGGTCAGAAGAAATGCCAGCCCTTGAGACACGACGGGTCGACTCCTGTAAATGGGGAAAACAAAAAGGTCCTGTGAGCTTCCTTGCTCGGTGCTCAGGCCCTCCACGCTGCGAACAGTGCTTTCCAGCGACCTGTCTCTGTGACACGAGATTTGTTTGAGCAATGAGCCCGAGCCGTTAGGGAGCCTGCTGTCATACTGCAAATACTAGCTGATTCAAAAGTGGTAAGAAAGGAAACAGGTTGTAAGCTTAGAATTATTTAAACCAAACCTGACCAAGGCTTTCTCATTTCTGAACAGTATAAGCAAACAGAAGCAAAGCTAAAGTGAAACATCACCTGCACATGTCAGCCCACCACAGGCACAAAACCATGATTCTATTGTTGTCTTTACCAGAAGTGGCCAATTGAGGCACGCAGCTTCCCTGGCTGCCAGGGACTTGGGGTGTCTGGCAACCCGGCAGGTCTAGGCCCCAGTGAAGGCGCACGCGAGCCCAGCCAGGGCCTGCGCCTCTGGGCTCGCCATAAGGAGCGCTGCTTGTCTTTCTTGTGCAGTAACTGGGAGTGTAGGTGGAAGAACAGCTACAGCTCAACACAGATCCAAGATACAAATACCCAAGTTGCAACTGAGGAAGAGCAGCCACCCGAGCAGGGAAGAACTTACTGCCAGAGGCCGATCAGTCCAGGCCAGTTAGCAGACCCCGAGTCCCTGAGATCAAACCCACTGCTTCCAAAACTACGTGTGAGCAATGCTTTCTCGTTTCTAGTCTGAAGTGGGCCAGTAATCTTAAGATAAAAATTAATTACCCGGGAAAGTTTAAAAATGCACAATAATCTCATATTGTCTGTATCACTATATTTAACAGTCATAAAATTTCTAACCGCTTAATAATTTTTAAGATTTATTGCTTTTTGGAAAGGCAGATTTACAAAAAGAAAGATCTTCCATCTGCTGGTTCATTCCCCAAATGGCTGCAATGGCTGGAACTGAGCCAATCAGGAGCCTAGATCCCAGTGCCTCTTCTGGGTCTCCCACGTGGGTGCAGGAGTCCAAGACCTTGGGCCTTCCTCCACTCCTCTCCCAGGCCACCAGCAGGGAGCTGGACGGGAAGCGGAGCAGTGGGACATGAACTAGTGCCTATATGAGATCCTGGTACATGCAACGTGAGGACTTTAGCCAGTAGGCTACCACACAGGGCCCAGTATTAATAATTTTTTTAAAAGACTTATAGACTTTTGTGGAAATTTCAGAGAGAAAAGACTTTGCATCCACTGGTTCACTTCCCAAATGATCTCAACAGCCAGGGCTGGAGCAGACAGGCTAGGAGCCAGCAACTCCATCTGGGTCCCCAAGTGGGCAGCAGGAACTGGAGCATATGGTCATCTTCTGTTGCTCTCCCAGGTGCGTTACAAAGAGCTGGCAATCTTAGGGCATCCAGTGTGGCAAACAGCAGCTTAACCCACTGTGCCACAATGCTAGTCCCAACACATAGTTTAATCAGACAAGTTACAGAATGAAAACTTCACAGGCTGTTCACATCTAACCAGAGGCAAAAAAAAATCATTCACTAGGGCCCAGCGCTGTGGCCTAGCAGCTAAAGTCCTCACCTTGAATGCCCCAGGATCCCATATGGGCACCGGTTCTAATCCCAGCAGCTCCACTTCCCATCCAGCTCCCTGCTTGTGGCCTGGGAAAGCAGTTGAGGACAGCCCAAAGCTTTGGGACCCTGCACCCGCATGGGAGACCTGGAAGAGGCTCCTGGATCCTGGCTTCGGGTAGGCATAGCATCGGCTCTTGTGCTCACTTGGGGAGTGAATCATCGGATGGAAGATCTTCCTCTCTGTCTCTCCTCCTCTCTGTATATCTGACTTCCCAATAAATAAATCTTAAAAAAAATCATTCACCAATCAACATGCCTACAAATGACTTCATGATCATCAAAAAATGATTAGCTTCTCTTCCGGCAGCGGGGAAGATGGCGGACATTCAGCCGAGCGTGCCTTCCAGAAGCAGCCGGCGATCTTGCAGCACAAGAAGTGGGTCCTCCCAGCAGAGACTGGCCAGGAGAAACCCCCGCGCTACAAGAACATCGAGCTGGGCTTCCAGGTGCCCAAGCAGGCTACCAGGGCACCTACACTGATGAGAAAAGCCCCTTCACCGGGGAGCGTGTCCATCCGAGGCGGGCTCCCGCTGAGCGTGGTGGCCAGGGGGAAGATGCAGAGCCACTGTCATCCGTGGGCGATGACCTGCAGCCCGTCCACCAACACCACCGCTTCGGGAGGCGCCACAAGAACATGTCAGTGCACCTGCTTCAGGGTCACGGTGGGTGATGCGGGCGCTGCACTTCACTGTGCTAAGGTCACCGGGGCCCCTGGCACCAAGAAGCAGTGCCAGAAGTCCTGAGCCACCCCTGCCCACTCCCCAGCATGAAATATTTACCCAGCCCCGATGATTGTTACTACTAGCCCTCCCACGCCGCCCTCACCTGTTCGTGGGTTTTCCTTGGACTTTTAGGTGACTTGCTTCCATTCTGAGGACTTTCACATTCATACCTGTGGTGTATAAAGCGACATGATTCGGGTTTGACTTGTACACCACGAGACCAATGTTGAAGCCATTGCCTGTGTCTGCGTGCAGCCCAGAGCTGCTGTTACACCGGGCCTGCGACCCAGGGCAACCCCTATGGCCAACGAGGCGGAGTGGACTCCACCACGCCAGGCTCCGTCTCTCACGTTCTGGAAGCCACACAGGGGCTGAGCTCACGCAGCAAGCACGATGCCAGCGAGCAAACTCGGAGAGATGCTGGCACTGCCCGGTGAGGGTTACGGGACAAGCATCACTCCAGTCTCCCGTTTACTCAACCTGTGTGCAACCAAGCGCAGTGCAAGGCTGCGTTGGCAAGACACACTACTGTTCTGGCAGATCTCAGGGTCGAGTTGTCACGTGATCCTTTATCCTGCACAAGGACAATTTTGGTGTTTCAGTGACGAGAATCCAGACACCACCTGAGAGCTCAGGCCATTCTCAGGGCAGCAGAGTTCTCAACAGAGTTTGTCGTGCTCAGCAGATCCATTTCTGAGTCTTTGTTGGGTGTCTTTAAGGATTGCAATTAATGTCACCTTGAATAACATCTCAATCAGGGGAATCCGATGTGGTATCTGTTACACATCAGATACTCCCTGCCTCTAGATTCACAGTCTAAAAATCAACCCTAAAAATTAGGACAAGATCACAAGAAACAGAACAAAAGAAATGACCAAAGAATTTAAGCCGAACATTAGGGAATGTCTATTTAACCTAAATGAGGGGAAGCTGGAGTTTAGCAGAATGGATTTCACAAGTGACCGATTTGTTGTCTACAAAACACCTGTCTTAGACTCAAGCCATTTCAGAGGCAAGAAAGCCATTTCCTGAGAGCGGTTTACTTGAGAACAGCGGACACGGGCTGCAACAGACCACAGCCCACACAGAACACTACAAGGGGCAACTCTTCCAGAACTTCCAGTTAAAAACAACGTCACTGAACAGTAAGTTTCAAGAGATAATCTAAGCCATGAGGCTGATGAAGTTAAAATTAAGGTTGTGGAAATGTTTGTTTTGCAGGCATAAATTAAAAGAACTAACCTGGCTTTATCTACCAACCACGGGAAACATCCAACAAAGCATATTACTGCAAGCACAGGGCGCTGGTATATGCCAGTGTTCTAGTTACCAGCAAGGTACAATTCCCATTTTCTACAGCACAGTATAGCTTCAAAATGTATAAAGCAAAAAGTGACAGAACAATTACAAAGAAAAACAAGCAAATCCTGAGCAGATGACTTAAACATATTTGTTAGAGCAACCAACAAAAACAGGGAAAATTCTTGGAGAATGTACGTTACAATCTAAAAGCTGTATGCAGAAAGACCACTGTGGGCAATACCTGCACAACACACACAGCCAAGGTGGGTTCAAGGCCAGCCAGGGTCCCTGTGCCCCGTGCGCTGGTTCAAGGCCAGCCCAGCCGGGGTCCCTGTGTCCGTGTGCTGGTTCAAGGCCAGCCCAGCCGGGGTCCCTGTGCCCCGTGCGCTGGTTCAAGGCCAGCCCAGCCGGGGTCCCTGTGTCCGTGTGCTGGTTCAAGGCCAGCCCAGCCGGGGTCCCTGTGCCCCGTGCGCTGGTTCAAGGCCAGCCCAGCCGGGGTCCCTGTGTCCGTGTGCTGGTTCAAGGCCAGCCCAGCCGGGGTCCCTGTGCCCCGTGCGCTGGTTCAAGGCCAGTCCACTCCTGACTCTACTTACGCTAATGAGCACATACTGCTCCAGACCCAGATCTCTGCTACCACATGGAAAACTTGAAATGAATTCCTGACCACCTGCCCAACCTGGCTCAGCGGTGGGCATCTGGGGGAGTACAGGAGAGGATAGCAACCTGCTTCTCAAATTACACTCACTCACTCTCTCTCACACACACACACTCACTCACACACACACTCACTCACACACACACTCACTCACACACACACTTAGGAAAGATTTTCCAAACAGGTAATCACAGCTAATCATGAAGCAAGCCTGGACATGGCTGAAAAACTGGAAATCATGCAAGCGTCCGTCCACATTTAATACACTGCCAGTGATTCTGCATACCCTTTATTTTTTCACTTACATACACACACAAGCAAGACAGACTGCAAAGCCAGCCCTCACGCGACGACATTCACACGCAGTGACAGGACTCGGGCACAAGCAGGGGACTGTGCCAGTGCCACGCGATCTCTTAGAGAGAGGAAGACTGTGCAGCACAGAAACCCACGCACAGGTGGTACAACTCCAGATTTCTACGCAATCACAAAAGCCACAGCGGTGGGCCGCTTGGTAAGAGAAAGCTGTGATTAAAGACAGCGTGCAAAACTCTCTGACTGGGATGCTCAGTTAGTTTGGTAGGCCGACCATCACGAACCACAGTTTCTCCGCAGCTGAGCTGGCTGCACCTGTCCCAGTCTTGGTGTCTGTGGGCTGCTCTCCTCAGCCCTCCTCGCTGCCTCTTCCCCCGCCCTTGTCTCTGCATCCCAACCGTACGGGAGCCACTGGGCACCGGAGCAGGACAACCTAAAGCTTCACAGGTTCGCGTCTGACAAGTCTCTCCTCCAAATGCGCCATGCTCTGAGCAACTGGGGGACTGCAGGAGCGTCACACACTCTGCGACAGGCGGTCACACCACAAGCTGACCTGTGATAGTTTCATTTCTGGATCTGCGTTTTTATTTAAAGAAGAAATTTCAGTTTCACAACACACCACACACACACACACACACACACACACACACACACACACACACACACAGAGCATCTTGAGGACCAGATCTCCCTTCTTCTGCATAATTCTGTGCGCCCTAACTCGGGGATTCCATCACACTCGAATCCCATTTGTCATTCCTCCTAGATACAAATGCCTTAAGAGTAAAAGTTAGCGTTGCTAAAATCTTGACGCACTCTGACATGCATCAAGTGTAAGGAAGGTTTGTTACCAGGCCGCTAGTTAGCATTAGTCAGAAGGCGCCGTTTGCTGTTAACCCAGCCGGTTGTTACCCACCTGAAAGACCGATCAACAATGGTTATCAGATCTCCGTGCCTGAGCTGCACAGGCCCAGCAATAGCAGACCCATTGACTTTGGTTGGATTTGCAGAGCTGAAGTTATGCAACACTGCCTGCAAGCAGAAAGCGGGAATGTGTGCGTGAGTGTGTGTGAACAGAGCAACAGTGAACCCCAAGGGCTAAAAATCGACTTCCAAGAAGCCAGCTTACCTCCTGTTCATTGATTTCGATTTTGCAATGTTGCTTTGACACGACCGGAAGCTGGATACGAATGTCACATTCGATACCCCTTCAGATGAAAGAATGAAGATTTTTTTTGGGAGGGAGGGTTACAACTGTTAAAAGTTACCTCAATTTTTCAAGACAAAATAGAATTTGACTAGTAAGCTGGGTTGTAAAAATAGTGATGTAAAGAAATAACAACAAAATGTTTAATTCAATCACTTTGTAAACAGCTTTTATGAGTGTGATATAAGCAGCCATTTCAGACCTTTAAAACTCGTCAACAAAAGTAACCCAAGACACTGGAGGACAAGCTGAATTACCTTTTATATAAGCAGATACACTCCTCAAAGGCAGAGCCTTACATCAGTTTTGGAAAGTGACTGTGTTTAGTATTTAAAGTGCTGGCACCCCTCTGCACCCCCACTCGTCCACACCCAAGCACCTGGCACCAGCACCCACTTCATGACATTGTGCCAACAGGTATCTACCACTCGGGTCCAGCACAGAACAGGCGCTTACTGTCTGAGGTGAGTGCCAGGGTGACAAACTACGCTTTACCAACTGGTGGGTGCAAAAGCTTCCTAACATTAAAACACAGATCTGCAAGGAAAGAAAAACAATACAGACTGCACCTGCCTTCCGCAGCCCAGTCAACAGGAAGCAGCAGGCGACACCCTTCCTCCCAGGGGACACACAGCCCTGGGGGCAACAGGGGGCAAGGCCTCCCCACCACCAAGACCGCCTTCCTACTCATGTCACATGACCAGAACTTACGAACTGGGCTCTAGATGATGAAATCTTGCATTGAGTATTACTGCGTAATAACCAGGATGCCATGCCACTGAGATGGAAAATGTGGCTTGTTAACCCTCAGGAAGGGATTTGACGTGTGCGTATCAGAAGGTCGCACCAAGACACATCATCACCAGAAGCCAGCTCCGAGGGGCAAGAGGGTCACTGCAGGCGTGTTTTCCACGACACCTTACACCAGGTCACCCTCAGGGCTGGAGGGGGTGCGACAGGGGGGCTGTCAGGGGCAGCGCCCCTGGTCCCGGCTGCCCATCGGTGGGCCCTCCTGCCCATCGGTGGGCCCTCCTGTAGTAACCACTGCTACCCATGGACTGCAAAGCCAAGCACCTGTCCCATGATTTGCACCGGACACAGCCGTCACCTCCTTGGCGTCAGGCAGCAGGCCCTGAGTCCGCCATTACTGACCACAGAGCCCCTGTTCTTGGGGGGGCTCAGTCTGGGGGCACAGTCAACCCCAAAACTCATCACCCACACTGTGTGAGCAGAGACAAGCTTTCCTGAAAGGTCTGGATGAAAAACCGCTGGAGAGCAGGTTCCAACCACAAACTGAACCCCAGCTCGCTAGTCCGGAGGCAGAAGAGGACGCAAGGAGATGGGGCTCGGGAGACACCACCGCGGACAGCCACGCCATCACAGGCCCGCGTCCACCGCACGGGGTGACCGAGGGGGCGCCGAGTGTCCCCGGGCCCTCCACGGAGGGCCAGGGTCAGTGCGCCCCCGGCAGAGGCAAAGTTCTCACAACACAGAAGGAGCAGCTCTCGCTCTCCAGCCCACTTCTCCACCACGAGCCAACAGCACCGCGGCACACCTGGCCCCTGGGACGAGAGCTCCTGGCCGGCCATCTAACATGGTCCCCCATCACAAGACGTTCCATCAAATTAGCTTTCAAAACCCTGGCTGCTTTGCAGAAACAAAACCGGGGCATTTACAAATAGCACTTCCCACCAGGAGCCAGTCTGGGTCAGTGCACCAGCGGCTGGCGGGTCCCCCCAGCTACCGCGTCGGCACGCGCGGGGCTCACCTTCCGAACCAGCAGGAGCGGAGGCTCAGCGGGAAGTGGGCCCCGTCCGCCCCGCTCCTCTTGATGGTCACCAGCCGCGCGCTGGGCCCCATGTCCAGCCCGAGCCGCGGGGCGCTCACCGGAACTCCTCCTCCTGCAAGGGAGGGGGGGGTCACTCTCTCGGCCGCGGCGCCCAGAGCGGCCCGTGGGCACCACACCGGCTCCTTCCCGCGCCCAGCTACAGCCCAGGGCGCCCAGCCAGAGTCCACGACGAGGCCATCCTCGCCCGTGCCCGAGAGTCCCGGGACCCAGAGCGCGCCGGCCGCCGCTCACCTCGGGCCAGCCGCCCGCGTCGCCTCGTCGTCCGCCGCGACGCCCCGCAGCAGGGAAGCCCGCGCGTCCCCGGACCTCCCCACGCCCGCCCCGCGCCCGCCCGTGACGCCGGGGGCCAGGCCCGCCGCGCTCGCGTCCCGAGTGGCTGGCTCCGCCCGAGGCTGCCCGCCGCGTCTGCCGGATTCAAACCCAAACGGCGGTTCAAATTCTGGCGCTAAGCGCTGCGATTGGACAGGCGGCCTCGGCCTTGCGACCAATGGCGAGGGCGGCCGTGGGCGGGCGGCCCGGGGCGCGGGGCGGGCCTTGCGTGCGGAGGCAAACCGGCTGCCCGCGCGCTCTGCCCGGCTGCCCGCGCGCCCTGCCCGGCTGCCCGCTGCAGTGTGGGCCCCCGCTGCCCGCGCGTCCTGCGCTCTTCCTCGCTCCCTGCGCCCTGCGCCAGCTGTGTGGGTCCGGCTGCCCGCGCGCCCTGCCCGGCTGCCCGCTGCAGTGTGGGCCGCGGCTGCCCGCGCGCCCTGCGCTCTTCCTCGCGCCCTGCGCCCGCTGTGTGGGCCCCCGCTGCCCGCGCGCCCTGCCCCGCGCCCTGCGCCCGCTGTGTGGGCCCCCGCTGCCCGCGCGCCCTGCCCCGCGCCCTGCGCTCTGCGCCCGCTGCCCGAGTGAGCACACTGAGGAACCCCGCAGGCTCCCGGGAGGGAGGAGGCGGCCAGGGTCAGCCCGGGGAACCAGGACAAGGCTTTCCCTGTGCCGGTCTGGGAAGATAGAGCCCCCCCTTTTCACTGCAGAGTAGCGCGTTGATGTCGCAGCAAGACTTAAGCTTTCATGTCAACTATGGTAAGCCATCTGGATGCTTTTTAGGAGCGCGAGCCCCAGGTCTTGGCCCTGGCGTAGCCCCCTCGGAGGGCGCCGTGGCTTGCGGGAGGCTGAGACCACGTTGACCCGTGGGGCTAGCCTAGGTCGGCCCCCAAAGTGGCGGGATCGCCCCCCCCCCCCGTTTGTCGGGGTCCTGGCCGCAGGTGGCGAGGGTGTATGCCAGGCGAGGGGCGCCGCACGGGCAGCGCTGAGAGCCCCGAGGCTCACCTCGGAGGGACAGAGCCCGCCTGGCCCCTGGCGACCCTGAGACTCGGCCTGAAGGAAGCGTGGCCTGCGACGCCCCTCGTGCTTGCCCCAGACCCGGTGTGGAGTAGAGACCCCCGTGTTAGAGCTCGGGGCCGCAGGGGGACAGCCCGGCCTTCCGGGGCAGCTGGAGGGCATCTCCAAACCCTGCCATTCTCCAGGCTGTGCTCAGTCTCTTCCAGCCAGAGACCCCGACCCAGTCCGTGGGCGCCATTTCTCTCCTTCCTGTTCCTGCTGGCCATGACTCCACCTGCCTGAAGCTGCTGGTGGGCGCCGTCCAGGCAGCCAATAGGGACACCTGTCACCCACTCCGGGCCCCAGACTAGCCATCTGATTGGACGGTGCTTTTCCAATAAACTTTGAATTCGTGTTTTTACAGACGTACTGCTGTTGTGTGGGTGGCGTGTAAGTATGTGAGACATTTATGGCGCGGGGAAAGAGGTTGCAAAAAGAAGCCGACTTAGACACGCAAGTCTGTGCTACATAATAGAGTAAAAACCGGTGGGGGAGCAGAGTAGAAATACAAATTTTACTGGAAAGAAAAAAAAAGAAGAAATTTAGCTGCTAAAAAAAATGAACGTGTGTTTTCGTCACTTCCCTTTTTGGCCCTGCTCAGTGAGGAACTGTTTCTGCTTCAACGTTCTAATGTTTGCAATTAAAACTTCCCGGCCTTGACAGTGATCAGAATTTACCACGGCAAAAATGTGTGAACATGTGGACATTCCCTGTAGAAGCCTGCGGCAGAAGTGGGTGATTCCCAATGGACAGCAGGAGATGGAATTGCGGCCAGCCCCCCATTGTTTTCCTGGAGACGCCCTCGCTCTGCCCCCATTTGCAGAGAATGTTTCTTTCTAAGGCAAATTCTCACTTCCCAACCTTTACAGCACCCATTACTGAAGGCACAAGTCAGCCTCTAGGCGGTGGGCCGGCTGACCCAGGTTCTCATTTGGGATGTAGTTTGTGGACGCTGGTGCGAACACAGACCTCTCTCCGTGGTGTGCAAAGAAGAGAGGGACATGGCTGGGACATTTCTGGTGGCCAGGGGGCCCTTGGGCAGGGCTGACCTCCTCCTTCCATGAACTCGGACCAGTGGAGTCCCACAACACCCTTGGGGCAGGGCGGGACAGGTGCTTCTAAGCCTATGGTAGGTTCTGGTTCCCTATCCTAGTCTTGAACCCTCCCTTGGACCTGGAACCCTCCTGTGGCTACAGACGGGTCCACAGGGCCCTCCAGGGAGCTGCCCCATTGCCTCCCAAGCACTTCCCTCTCCCGTTGCCTCCAGACCCCACCCTTCATACAGGCTCCAGTCAATGGAGATACTGACCGGGCAGTCATGGGAACTTCTGAAGGTGTGTTGGTCCAAAGCTTGCTGTCCTCAGTCACTGAAACCCGGGGGACTCCTGCATGTGCCACGGTGACAGCCCTGATGTCCAAGCACGTGTGTGACTTGAGTGTCCTGGTCCGAAAGCTGACCCCTGGCTCGGGCCTCTGATTTGACTTTGTGTCCTGGGGTCCTCGCTGAGCCCCACCATGTCTGGGTCAGAAGCTGAGCTCTTCCCATGGTGGGGGTGGCCTGGGTCTACCGAACGCTCCTCCCCAGCATGTCTCCAAGTCCATGCCACCCATCTCCCACTGTTCTGTCTGGAAGATGTCCTCCCCCAGGGCAGATTTATCAGAGCATAGCCAGGACCCCATCTCCCCTGTCCTGCATTCCAGGTCTGGGGATGAGGTGATGGATCCCTGCTGGGCTCTGGACCTCAGGTGGACCCTCTGTAGGGAACATGACCATGGCTGGTGGCCTGCTGATGTTTCTAATTACTTTGGAGAATAGAGGCCCACTGCTGCCAGGCCACCTGTGTCCTGGACTCCCCCCTCCAGCCAGGGTCCTGTCCCCAGACCCAGGGCTCCCTCCCTCCTGCTGAGCAGAGCTCCTCTGGCTCAGGCTGTGGGTGCTCTTGGCTCCTGCTGCAACCCTGCCTGCCTGGGGAAGGAGAGCAGGCGGGCAGTCCTGGGGCCTGCCTCCTGCACTGGGGGCACCTTGGACAGGCCACACCTTGGGGCCTGCCTCCTGCACTGGGGGTGCCTTGGACAGGCCATACCCTGAGGAGGCTGCAGGGTGGGTTCACCTGCACAGCACTCACCCAGCTGGAGAGACAAGAACTGGAGCACTGAGCTCCTGAGGTGAGAGAAAGAAAAGTTACACCAAACGTAGCTTGCAAATGTGTGTGTGTGTGAGAGAGAGAGGTTCAGGATGTTAATACTGCATGGTTTCATTATAAAATCTTTGACAAATATAGGGATGTAGAAGGCAGAAATGTCCCAAAGGTAAAATTACATGACTTTCTGAACAGTCTTTACTTCACATTGGATGGACATGGAAACGTAGGTAGGCAGTTTCTAAGTGATGTTTTAGTTGCTTTAACACTGTCTCCTCCATCTTTAGTGATTAAATACATAAATGGATCACTTCGATAGATGTAATTTATTCTGCTTCAACATTTGTGGTTTTCCCTAGCATTTTAAAAAAGGTTTACTTCTTTTTATTGGAAAGGCAGATTCACAAAGAGAGAAACAAGAAGAGCCTCTATCTGCTGGTCCACTGCTCAAGTGACCACAGTGCCGGAGCTGAGCCCATCTGAAGCCAGGAGCCTCTTCCGGGTCTCCCACGCAGGTGCAGGGTCCCAAGGCTTTGGACTGTCCTCGACTGCTTTCCCGGGCCACAAACAGGGAGCTGGAGGGGAAGTGGAGCAGCCGGGATACACACTGGTGCTTATATGGAATCCTGGCACATGTGAGGTAAGGACTTTGCCATGGGGCTGCCCTGGGCCCTTCCCTGGCATTTTAAGACACAGCCTGCTGGGGTCCGTGTGATGGGTGTGGAAGACAGGAAGGTGTGAAGAGTATCGTTCTATTGCGGGCAAGGTCGCAAGGAACTTCCTGCTGTGTGGCAAGGCCTGGCGGATGTCTCTACAACACCTGAATGCAGCTCTGCCTCCCTTTGCATGGACACCAGACAACCCCGCTGAGTATTCTGTAATCTATTTAGGCATTGTCTGCCTCTGCGGAGTTACTGTTAAATATCAATAGGAACTTAGAAGCTAATGTTGCTGGTGCAAAGAGCTGTTATTGCTGTTAGGGCTGCGTCCTGTGGCAATATGTTAATCAAGAGTGTTAAATCCCCCTTTTGATCCTATGCTAATCAAAGGTGTTCTGTCTTCAGGTGTAGTGGGAATCTATTCTTTCCCTCTTTCTTTGATCTTTTAGGCCCCTTCCTTCCTTGATTGTCTCAAGACCAAGCTGTAAAGTAATTGTGGTAGGAATGTGCTACTGACTGATATGCACCATCTATTGAGAACCTTTTCCTAGCCAGGTGCCAGGTGAATAGCAACCTAGCCTTAGGTGAAACTAATGGCAGAGTTATCTTTAGAAACCCCCGCTTGAGCGCGAGGTAAAAAGCCTGAGCCAGAGTTTGACTGATTTTGTATAAATAAAGCGGACAGCTTTTGTGCGTCGTCCACGATGGTCAAGAGTTCCTAGTGGTCCGTCTCTTTCTTTCCTCTTTGTGCCTCATCCACGCACCCTTCGCGAGTTCCGAACTCAGCTGGAGCTGGACTCCGGCAACAGCCCGTTTTTGATATTGCAGATGTGTGAAGTCCAGATCTCCAAAACCTGAATAGCATTCAAAAGTGGGACAAGCTTTCCAGTTCAAACTTAAGAATGTCTGTCTTGTATCAAATTCTTTTTAACATTTTAAAGACTCTGCCTATTGGGTTTCAATTAGAATGCAGTTTCAATTTGAATTTTAAAATTACTGGTGTATTTGAACACTTATTCTTACAGAGTTAAACGTTCAGTTATCATATCTTTTTTTTTGGCCAACTGTCTTTTTGTGTCTTTCCCAGTTATTCATGTCTTAAAGATTTCATCAATTTAATTAATAATAAAC